GGATCGCCACAACAATTACTTAAAACACATGACAAGAGAATCCATACAGCAGGTGCATTTGAAATGTTGCTCTTAAAGGGGTAACGGAGAAAGGGGAAAGAATGTGCAGTTAATGCCACGCTGATTAGTCAGGCCTGAGAGGCATCCCCTGCCTCTCAGGGTCACTGGCAGAGAAAGCATGATAAGATATTAAATCTTGACTAATAGCAATGAAAAAATTAAAGCCACAAGTGGCGTCGAACATTGCACAACACCGTGCCGCACCACGCACTGATGCCCCATCTGCACACCTGATGGGAGAAACACTAATAGTGTGAAGGCCGATGATCAGTGATGTGTTTTGAACTCATCGAACTATGTGAGTAAACTAAGCCTGGTCTTACCACACCATCGTACAAATTTCATTTCGTATTAAGTCTGGATTTGCTCCATCGAGCTCAAAGTTAGGGTAAAAAAAGTCCAGGTTGGCCACTTGCTTGCTTAGTGTTTAACCGATGACAATTCTGTGGCTAACTTTTGATGCTACATGTGTGTAGATGATGCAGAACCATTTTCAGCCAAATCTGTGAAACGACCGAGGCCTTGTTGTTCATGCAATGTCCAACTTTGGCTCAGTATGTAGGGGGCGCTAAAGCTGCAATTTCATTTTTCTAAATCCAGGTGACGTAGATCCAAGAGTTGTACAACCTTAAACAGGAGCACATTTGAAATTTGCTGCTCCGCTGCTTGAACACCGTTCAATTGATAAAAATTTGGTTGCTAACTTTTGATACTACATGTGTGTAGATGATTGTGGAGCAATTTTTTTCACATCCATGTGACTTAGACCCATGAGTTGAACAACCGAATGTTGTGCAAACTGGCCAAAAAAAGTTTCCAATTGAGAAAAATATAAATTTTCCAAAAATAAGTTGCAAAATAGTTTTTTTGCGCAGCTTGTGCAACATTTAAATGGTTAAAATTCTGCAGGTAATTAAATGTGGAAAATACACAGCACACTCGGATAGATGTCCAAAAGATCTAGTATTTATTAACGTTTCGGCCTTAGCCTTCGTCAGATCATTTTTATCTTGTTTATTTGGATCACAATATACAAAATGGTGCCAACCCAGGTGCTATAAGCCCCTTCTAACGAGTGGGAGGTCCCAGTGTGGTGACACCCAGTGAATTCAGCCAGTCTAAAATCAAAAAGCAGAATTAATACATAGAAGAAATCAACTTATAAACTGTATGATAATCATAAGAAACATCTGAGGTCAAAGTCCACATTTAGTCCATAAGGAGCTAAAGTCTTTAAGTGATGGATCCAAAAGTGCTCTCTTTTAGACAAAAGCACTTCCAGGTTTCCAAAATTCTGCAGCTAACTTTTGATGCTACATGTGTTTAGACGATGTGGAGCCATTTTGAGACAAATCTGTGAAATTACTCCGGCGACGTTGTTGTTCAAACAATGTGTGTGAATTCAAGTTTTTTCAAAATTTGTCACACAATATTTTAAATATATTATTTCAAATGCTTATTTTCTTTGGCGTACATCAAGAAGCTCCAAAACTGGAGGAAAATACAGTACATACACTGAAGCAGCATCTCCTGTAGAGCATTTCAATTGTGTGTTAAAAAATACTGTCAGACTTCTCTCATTGTCTGTGTGCACATCTGAGTGATCTGTCCTTGACAACATCCCAATCCCAATTACAAAAGGATCAGTTATTGCTCTTGCATAAATCAGGGTTCATTCGTCTTCTATGTTTTGATGATGGAAATCCTGTCTTCCATCTGTCTTCAATAGGATTTCAGGAAGCACATAGTATATAGTAGAACTTCTCTATTTTCAAACATGTGTTGTACTTATTGAGGTCAATTGCCAGGCCTCTGATCACGTATCAGTATGCTTGCATCATGCTGAGTGAATGTTCAGGGTTGCCACCAGTATTTTCCCAGCGTTAACACATGCAAAGTCAAAAACCCTGCTTAGAATATCATCAGTGCGTTTTGTCAGGGTCACTATGGCACGCGCTGTCAATCGGTGTCCACTCGGAGGGCAGCTTAATTCAAAAGCCGACGACAGGACAGTGGATAAAAACTGTCAAAGTTTTGTGGGAATTTTATGAGTCACACAGAACTGTCTGGGTGATGACGCCAGATGTGCTCTCAGTCCCTCTCATAGAGGTTCTGCGCAATAGGATTATGAAATATTTATACAATTCTGGATTATTTTTCACAAAAATATGATGCAGATGTTTAATATTAGTAAAGCATGATTAATTGCAGTTGCAGGTTAGCCTACCCAATGAATTAGTAATGGGTGAATACATTAACCCTAACCCTAACAGTGTTCCCCGACCCTTTTGAGCGCTGGTTTCATGATGACATGGAAAATGCAGTCTCATCAAAGTGTATTGTATAGAAAATCCAACCAGCCAGCACAAAAAGTCTAAGCTTCACACAATATTTTGACCACTTACTGATATTGGATCATTAACGTTCCACGGCACACTAATAGTTGACAAACATTGCACTAAAACATTCATTCTACCAAAATAACTATAGTTAAACAAAATTGTGACCTCACCCTCTGAATAGTCATATAATTTGTTGGCCATCTTAGTTTCAAATATATCAGGGCGACATACTACTATACAAAAATTTACCAGTATTAAAAGAAGTATAAGTGCATCTGAGTGGGACAGAAATAGCCATATATCACACACTTTAAAAAAGAAAGAAATTAGAAGAAAAAAGCACTGTGTATCCTTGGGAGAGTTGCACCTGCCCAACTTCATTTACAGGTGTCGACTGATTCTCTCACTGGACGGTCCCGTGCACTGACCAAGTGACCTTAACCTTCGGTACCCCAATCCTACGTACACACAGCCAAACACACACACCTCTCCTGCCCCCATGGGATAGCGAACAGTGCAGCACAAAGACCACCTTTATTCCTCTATGTACACCAATCTGATGGGACAGAAAGGCCAGAGAAAGGGGATTTCACAAAAAGATTGCTTTTTTGACTCTGTTTCAACTATTTTGCTTCATCTTTACACTTCATTTCTATAGATATGCCTCTGTGCTGTAAGAAGTAGCGACAGAAAACAATTCCAAGGAAAGTGCATTGTGCTTTCAGGTGAAACATTATTCTCATATGGGACTTACAATTGTGCATGAACCAGAGTGTGCCTGCCTAAAACATTAGAATGTTGCATATGTCGAACCACTTTCCATGAAGCTGAAGAATGACTCAACCTATACTAGTGTGTTCTTGGTCATGAGAAAGTGCCGGACAATAAGGCACTGCAGCCATAAAGAAGATGTGTGCCTTGTGTTTGCATATCTCTCCTCAGCCTAGTGACTGATGAAGGAGCAGAAGCCGCAGTGAGGAGAAGCAATGGACATTTACCCTGAAACATCAACACAGCAGTCAGACAAATGAGGCCATACAATCCACTTCTCCATCTGCATTCACCATTTATTACCCAGCTCCTTCAAAGCAGAACATAATCACTGTGGTTCATCTGAAAAATAGACTACTGACTGATGTTGAACGATGAATTATTGTGCTCAGAAGGACCGAAAGCTTTTGGTGATTACGTCAACAATGCTTGATCACCTGACGTAAAATAAATAAATATGTCATTAGTTGCAGGTATCATTGCGCGCGGTAAAAAAAGAAAAAAAGAAAAAAAAAAACACATACATATGACAGTGAAATGTGGCTCGTGCTTTTATGGTGTCGGCTCCCCCTAGAGGCAAACACGATGCACCGTGTGACCAACTGGGATTAATTAATGAAAATAGCCATCAAATAGATCCATAATGTCACAACAACAAGAGAAGACGTTTTTGTTTCAAACAGCCAACTACAGAAACGTGGATGGACTGTCTGTGTAAGTTGAAAAGTCCCCATATCTGGCCTCAGCCTCGGGATAATCATTTCACATTAAAGGAACTATGGAAGTCAACAGAACAGACAATATTTGTATAGGCCTCATACACATTCCAATCAAATGTCAAATCATTGTGCTCTAAGGACACATAACACCTAGTTGCTGGCTCAAAGTGTTTCCTTTTTTGTTTTGATAAGAAGCACGTTAACAGAAGTGATAAGTTAAATTGAAATGATCCGACTTTATTCACGCGTTAGGATGAGGCGTGTATCACAGCAGCTCGGGAACACACACATGACCCTTGTTAAAATAACTCCAGTGTGTTCTACCTTGTGTCTGTGCCTGACGCGGGGGGCTTGCACTCTAAATAAACTTTGCAGCTCGTGGGGGGAGAGACAGAGAGACAGCAGAGGGCTGAAGTCATCAGCGGGACTGCGGGAGGGAGTGAATGAGCCTGCACGCAAAGCAGAAAGCGGTGGAGCCGTAAGCGCTGGTTCACTTCAGTTGTGCGCTGCGTTAGATACAGACACGAGATGGGAGTTTGACCGCCAACCAACACATGCATAGAAGTCAATGGGCCAAGTGCTAATTAGAAGAAGTGACTGAATGTGCAGATTAATAATTGTGCAGTAACTTAGGCGCTCCTTTACGCACGCGGGACGCATGGCACATCTCGGGACCATCTTTCAGGAGCACTACAAATGGATGTTATAAATGTTACTTTTTCCAAGGAATGAATACGTATTTTTCACCATTTCTTCCTCACAAATGGTTAATGTCGTGTTCTTGTGCAAAGCGGATAATATTTCTCGGCGTCAGTGTGGGATGCTGCGTATAACGGCGTGGAGACTGGTGCCCTGAGTCAGAACAACTGTGAATGAAGATCTCATCCAGGATGATAGAATCCGAGCGGGCCAGGCATCAATGGGCCCGCGTATACTATCACTATCTCATATCACATAGGCATACTGGCTTGAATACACGTGCATTTGGAAACTTATAAGGATTTTATCCAATCAGTTCTTTATATTGACTTTGGTTTTATGATCACCATCTCTGTGGGCTACTATGCAATTACAACTGATCACCTTTGTTTTGATCATATTGTACTGTATGGATTACACTAGCAGTCACAGCAGCTCCAGGCATCGGCACCACAAACGTGAGTATAAAATGTTATAACTTATTTATAAACCTTTTCCAGGTGTTCGATTATGAAACATCCCAATCCCAACCCTCAGTCTCTGTGACAATAACACTGTACAATTGGATGATTTCGATGAAAAAGTGAATTGTGTAGGCTATAATTTATTTAGAGACGTGGGCCCGTGGAATAAGTGAAAACTAGTTTATTTGTGTTTGTTTTTTTAATACAGATTGCTCGTAATTGGAGATAATTGAAGACTTTATACTATTGGTGGCTTCGTCGTTGAAATGTTCCGTGGTCCCCGTCGCTCTCTAGCGGCGCGCACAGTGAACAGTGACAGGCGCAGGGGCAGAGTGCGGTCCCTCTGACCTGCTTTAAAGCATCTCTCTACAGTGCTGGAACAACCACAAATAATATTCATTTATGTAGGGACTAAATATCAATGAAGTAACCAATAGTGAAACATCCATCCATCCATTTTTTTCTTCCCATTGAAAAGGTATACAATATAGACTAAATAATAACAAGTTAACACTATTTTTATTTTACAATACACTTCACATTTGACACGGATTAAAAGGACTGGGCAGTTAATACCTGTTACACATATTATTTTTAGTGATCCTAACCCTAACCCTACTCTGGTATTTGAACATGCAATCTCAGCAAGATTTTACAAATTATAACTCTAATTCTGGCCGCAAACAAATTGCCATTATTATTAATCTAATCCGTTTACATTGTTATATTATGAAAATCAATGGGTTTTGAAGTAATCCAATTATTCAGAGTATGTAGCTAGAAATGCATTTGCATGCAGGTATTCAGAATTTTGTAACTCTCCCTGATCTCTGGTCTTCTTACCAAAACTGTGATTTATTTGAAAAACATTATACAAGACACTGTAAAAAATACACCCATATATGTATTGTTATAAATAGTATTGCCTTTTTATGTGAAAGATCAACATGAAGTAGAAGACAATTGTGACCATATTTTTATTTTTACCAAAATAAATGAAACGTGTGATGTGCAAACGTTTTCAGCTCCCTTTTGTCTCAGTGCAATTAAAGCTGTGCTCAAAAGAAATAAAATTGGTCACTAAACAGCATCATGAAGTCCAAAGTATTATAGCTGGTTTATACTAAGATTTCCCAAGCTTTGAGCACGTACTGTTAATTACTGTTTAATCTGTAAGCCATGGAAAGATTATGGCACAACTGAAAACCTACCAGGACACAGCGGTCTGCCCAAAGTGACAGACCCAACAAGGGAAGCACTAATCAGAGATGTACACAAGAGGACAATGGTAACTCGTGATGTGCATCTACATGTGCATGGGGAAAATATTAGTCATGCACTACCACCATCTGGCCTTTATGGAGTGACAAAGAGAAAGCCAGTGTTTAAATGAAGCCACAACAGGCCAAGCATGGGACACATTCAACATGTGGTCAGATGAGACCAAAATGTAACATTTTGGCCTAAATGAAAAACACTGTGTGGTGAAAACGAAAACCACTCATCATTCTTTTCACATCATTCCCACTGTCAAAACTTGTGGTGGCAGCATCATGCTGTGGGTCTGCAAAATACTGAGCCATCTTGGGCCATTGAAGGAAAAGTTGGAATTTGCAAAAACCTTAAGACTGGGGTTTTTCTTCCATCAAGACTATTCAAATAAACATACCACCATTTCATAGAAATCAATTTAACATTAAACAAAATATATCCAATAAAATAACATGTGTCAACAAAATCATTTGTTTTGATAACAAACTATAAGATAGGATTAATTCCTGCTGGACATCAAGACATGTCATCTTTCTGAAAGGAGATAAAATCCAAGTTTTTTTAATGCAACCATTAATTTCTGAAGGAATGCGTGGAAAGCACTGTTTTCTAGCTCTTCAACATGAATAATCTTATTTCAACATAAGGAATTTATGGTTTGGCATACGCACTTTCCTTATAGTGTCATTTGTAGTTAAGGAGTTCATCACTTCCATGAACAAACAGGATTATCTGGAGATGGGGTGAATGAGTGCAGACTTGTGAGGAATCGAGGGGATATCATGAGAGTCAATGGCCACATGGTCATCATGGCAACAGCACCAGGACAATCTCCACAAAACACATTAAAGGGGTGGGAAAACAGTGTCTTACAGTACATACATGTCTTCAAGTGTTGCAGGTATGTGTTGATAATCCTAAAACCACTGACAGATCAGAGGATGGATGGGGTTTTACAGTATTTAGGGCTACTGAAGTGTTCATGTTGCTTTAAGTTCTCATCTGAAAGACTGTGGTGTCACTTTGGGCATGTTTGATACAGCGTTTGTGTAGGAGTGATGCATAGTGTTACCTATTCCGCAATTCCATTCTCATATCACCCTCTGTTTCTATGTGTAATCATGTGAATGTGTTTGTTTGTATGTGACTTTGTTGGTATGCATCCCCAGATACCACTGAGGTTTTGTCAGAGGCGAGGGCAAGGCCAAATTCCAGTGTCTTTAGTCTTCTGTGAATCAGACGCTTGGCAAAATCATAGAGCCAATGAGCATTCAAACATCGGATCTAAGATAAACAGCCTAAGAAGCCAGAGGGTTTGAGCTGGTGCAAAAACAGTCCATTTGGATAAACAAGCTAACAATCATGATTTTTGTCTTTTCTTTTTGCTATGATTTGTTCTTTAGTTATTGTATACTGGTACTGGCCTCGGTGTCCTGGAGCTTTAGCCTCTTACCTTACCAATGCAGGAAGGTCTAAGGATAGTGATGATCTGGGACATTTAAGAATATTTAAGGACATTTATGGACATTTAAGGACATTTATGGACAATTATGGACATTGGTCACCCACCCTCTCTGGACCAATGGCTCCTGTGTTTGTTATTTTTTTCATTTCCTGTGTTCAAACTGTTTGATCTGTTGGTGAGGAATCGACAACTTTGTAAAGTGGCCTGAGATGACTGCTGTTCAAATTCAAATATATTGAATTGAATTGAATTGAATTTGTTTTATAATCATATTAATTTTTGATGATCAACAGATCATACTAACGGGGGCATAGGGTGCCAGCAAGGGGGCTGCCTGACCTGCTCCGACTACAATGGCTGTCTCTCCTGTAAGCCGCGATTCTTCATGCATTTGGAGAGGAATGGGATGAAGCAGATTGGAGTGTGCATGACGTCGTGTCCTCCGGGATTTTATGATATTCGTTCACCAGAGAGAAACACTTGCACAAGTAAGGCATAACACACGTGGCTCTGATAATGGCCTCAATCACAGACTGTTTCAATAAACGCTTTTATATCCAAATGTAATAGCATTCATCTTAATATGGACAAAAAGTATTACAATGAATTACAAGGTGGACTTCAAAGCATGCATTCCACGTATGAGAAGCAAAAAAAATTATTTATTCAAAGTATGGAATAAATGTAAAAGATGATAAGAAACGACAAGGCATCACTTTTTATGGGAAAAGCAGAGGATGGACTGTCCATGCACTACAAACTAAGGACATCAGAAGGTCTCATGCACACTATTTTGCTTGTCATAAACACTTGTGTCTGCTTGCCCATTTGTGCATAATGTATAGGGTGAAGTTAAATTAAGTAAACATTTGTTTTCGATTCATTCATCACTCAGACATGAATCTTCTCATAGTGGCCTTTCCTCCCAACGACATCACTGTGCACACATGGACACCCTGAGGCACGCTGTATATTTAGGCACGACACACACCATAACTTGTCTGTTTTAAATAAACTGAGGTGGTGGGTCTGTGTTTCCTTGTCAGAGTGCAGGTCTGAGTGTGACTCCTGCTTTAACAAGAACTTCTGCACCCGCTGCCGACCGGGCTACTACCTCCACCTGGGCAAATGTCTGGAGACATGTCCCGACGGCCTGATGCCCAGCGATCTCCAGCGGGAGTGTGTGAACAGTATGTGCATCTTGTAAACTACAGTAATGCTCCATTATTGATGAACTCAGTCACACTCTAACCTTGTGCTTGTCTCAGGGTGTCCTGAAGGCTGCGAGACGTGTGTGAACACTGGGCTGTGCACACGTTGCAGACCAGGGCTGTACCAGCTCCAAGGGAGATGCCACCATGTATGTCCAGAGGACTACGAACCCAACGACAAACTCATGGAGTGCACCCCACAAGGTCAGTATAGTAGAGGTAGTAGATAATGCAGATATGCAGCTTAGATTAACACCCATTCTTTTGGAGGACATTTTTCTTACAACAATTTCATCTAATAATTAGTATATTTCCTCTTTATAAGGTGTAAGGAGTTTTCAGGTGTCAGCTGTCTGTATAACTGTATAACTAACCTTTGACAGTGCACTGTGAGGTGGGTGAGTGGAGCGAATGGAGCCCCTGCTCTCGCTCTGGAAGAACCTGTGGCTTCAGGAGGGGTCAGGAGACACGCACCAGGCTGGTCCTGCAGTATCCATCACCATTTGGACGCCCCTGTCCAGAGATCTCTGACATCAAGGAGTGCCTGGTCAAGAGGAAAAAGTGTGAAGGTCAGTAATTACAAACTCCTTATCGTTACAGTAATCTATTCTGGCCTATATTCAATCCCTGACTGCCTTGACAATCCAATTTTATTTCTTGTAAAACTTTAATATTCTATGAGAATCTGAAAATGCAGAAAACAATGACCTGCACACAATGACCTGCACACAACACTCACAAAATACAAAAATATTTGATCGGATTATTATTGTCAATTTTAGTGGCTGCTACATCTACCAAATATGTGTTTGTGACATGTGGTGGTTTCAGTCCTGTATGAATACCAGACATTGGCGCTTGAGCTTGTACAATCAGAGCTGGTGTTCTTCCGCTTAGGACTAGGTCTGTTTACTCAAAGGATTGTCATTGTGGTTGGCCAAAGCGTGGTGGGGGAACACACATGTGTGATGTTGCAATATCTAGGCTGTATCTTTTCCCATGAGACTCTTTAGATTCAAAGAGGGAAAATTCTCTGTGTCCATAGTAAACAAGAGGAGGGTGATCCTTTCTAATGAATCAGGTCCAATAAGCTGGCGAGCTGTTCTCCAAAAGTCTGTAGTAATGTGTACACTGCGTGTGTGGTTACCGAGGCAGGCGCAGTTGAGCTGCTTGTTTTGGCTCTCTAGTGTTAAATGACAGATCGCAGACAGGCTGAGAGAGATCTAGCCCCCCGGGGGCTCACGCTTACAGAACAAACTGTGTGAGTGTGTGAGTGGGACCGGCTCCACATCAACATCCTCCCCTTGGGACGCATGTGGCGGCTGATGGTTTATCCCTACAGCTGTCAACACATGCTTTAGAAAACATACTCAATAATCCATACAGACTGCAACTTTATAGAAAAAAATATTGCCCAAAGAAACATGCGATTCATGTTTGTAGAAAGCGCGAGTGTCAATAATTATCTGAAATGATCACTTATGTTGTAGCAACTTGGTCATTGGGCAGATGCCTACAAATCCTGCTGATTTTCTTGTTACCCTGTCCTATTTAAATAGAGGATTTCATATAGAATGTTGAAACTACGCATTCTCAACGTATACCGAATGTCGTACTGCGTAAGATCACACATTTGCGCACATATGAGTTTGTTGAGATTGAAGCGTGCACATTAGACCCACAAATGTATTATTTTAGGCTGTTTTTTTTGCTTTTGACAAAGAGTTCAAATTCAATTATGAAATTTATATTTAACCATTTAAAAAAATGACCTTTAATTTCCATATAGAAGCACATATCGTGTACTTGAGGGCCCAATTCAGTAGCCTCCCCCTTGTAAAGAGCTAATTAACGTATCTTTGGGGCGTCCTCTATGTGCTGTTTACTTCTGCACACACGCTACAGGGTCGATGGTCTGACCCCCACAACCTTGTGTAATCCTCAGCAACCCTTAGACACTGATACATCCTCCTCCTCTGAACTCCTGCCACATCCCTGCACTCCCACCCAACAGTTACACACATCTTTTCTCATATTTGTTCATTTCCTCAGTACAATCTCATGTCTAGTCTCATAATGTGCAAGTTTATATTGAAATGCAAAGCCCATCTTTGATCCACTCTGTATATAGCTGATTTAAACTGAAATGTTGGAAGTTAACTGTCGAAAATACATTTACTGTCTGCAAATTATTTTTATCATATCATAGAGTGCTTAGTGCTTCTGTCAGGCCCAACAAAAGATGGGGAGGTGTACCCTGGCCTTCACTGCAACATCGCTTCATTTACCCATTACCCACATACAATAATAATGGTAGTCAGACAGGGGTGTCAGTCAACTCACACATCCTGGTGGTCAGGTGGCGGGCATTCCTCTTGGAACAATTTGTAGCCTTTAATCCATGCCTGGCTCCCGCCAAAAGCTCCCCGGACAACACAGCGCCTGCCATGGAGGATATGGCATCATTAAAACACACAGTGCTCCTTCAACCATACACACAATATCCATCACTTTAGAGAACAATGCCCTGTCTGCAATCATTTCCTGTGCTCCCTGGTGAATCATTTTATAGTCACAAGCAAGCAGAGACACCACATTTCTGCTTGCATTCTTATTCAGGGATTAAAACCCACCCTCTGTCTGGGAGGGTTTCCTCCGGGTGCTCTGGTTTCCCCACCACCTAAAACAACGGTATACGGTCACCACCCAGTGTGGAGTAATGGATTGTGACTTCAGTGCAGCGCTTTGAGAAACCTGTGCTTTACAAATGCAAGACATTACTATTACTAAGCACTACATTAACAAACGATTGCATTGTTTGATCCCAATTACCTCTGTAGTATCTATTCTACACACATATAAGAAAGAAAATGTCTGAGGGGTTGAAGCAGATACTAACCCCTGTTGGTAAACAGATAAAATTCTCAGGAAATGGCCAAACAAGATGACTAAAGACTCATCTCAACACAGGCATTTACTACATACAGTTATCCAATTCTCTGTCCTCAGTTCAGTCATGCAGGAAACAAGGCCCATGTTTAGGCCATGAGACAAAGCCTGCAGCTTTCACCTCCTAATGTAATCTATCATTTTGCAGTGTGTTTGGGATCGTTTTGGGATTCTTCAGCTTCCTCATAGATAGTGTTGAGCTTGCTTTGAGAATTAGCTTACACTTACACTAGATAGATAGATAGATAGATAGATAAGATGTAAATTTCCTAAAATAATGCCCTCTATCTGATCTAGAAGGAAAGGGCACTCATTCAGGGGATATAAAAATGTATACAAGCATCAATTATTTTCAGTTTCAGGGTTTTAGGCAAATACTTAAGACCCTCCCTTTGTAGAATGGATGCTGATTGTTGGGGCAAGGTCATAGAATGTTGTGTATTTATAGCTCTTTGAAATGTGCATCATCTGGTCTTTCTGAACAAGCCAATGACCCTATTAGGTTCAGTAAGGTCACACAACTCTGTATGGTTCCCAGACTTTTGCTCTGGGCATTCACAAAATATAACAATATTCTCAAATAATAAAGAAGTCATGTTTTTAGTGTTTTAGTTATGAGTGTCAGGTCATAACTCCATGTATTTTAGACATCTGCCTTCCCTTTGTTTCACTGTTCATATTAACAGATATTTTGCATCAGGGATCCCAAAACGTGCCCCACTGTATTAAATAGTTCCTGGACAAAAGCACAGCGGCTACAGTATGAGTAATCTTCTAAAGTTGTAAATAGTTAGTGTCAGGACAGAGAAAACAATGAGAGCAAAGGGGACTTCCTGTGTTTATAGAGGACAGAGGCAGAACTGAATGAGTCAAAGCAGCAGATTACTGCAGCCATCCAGCCAGAGAGATGTAGAACTAGTGACAGATTATAAGCAGCTACATTCATCAAGACTGATGCCACAATACAAACACATCCAAGAACTTTTCCAAAAATGAGTATACACTATTTGTGTGACATGGATTAAATCTATAATATTCGTAGATAGATGGTCCCTATGTTTTCAACTGCTTTTACGCTAGAATAATTACCTTGTTGACACTTGGATTGTGGGATGAGACAGTCATTCTTAGAAAGCCCGACTTAAATAAACATACTGCTGTGCTTGAACGTTTACACACCCAGGCAGACATTTTGAATTTCCATCTTTTTGGGCCATATTTCAGACACCTTCTTTCAAATTAGTGTAGGTGGTTTTGTGGAGCCATTTATTGTCAAATTTAAAACATAATCTATTTTAAAATTATGACAACATAAATACTCCAATGACCCTGATTGGGATTTACTTCCCCCAGTAATCAACATCTTGTATTGTCCTATAACATCTACGAGCTTTAATAATAATGATTATAAATATTACATTATACTTATGATATTTTTTTTTGTACACTCAAAGGCGCTTAAGCAACATCTACAGCTTTTGTGAAATCTTTTGTGATAGTTGGATGAGGTTTTTTATTGTCTCTGATTGCCCATTTTTCAAAAAGTCACCACTCTATGTAAATTCCTGGACTAGTATAAACAGTCAGTTATCTATATAGCTTCACCTAACCACTGATGATGAGTGAAAATGTGTTTGTGTTATCATTCATAATCTCCATTTCATGTCCCTAAAGAAAAACAATCCTGTCTGTGTGTAGAATGTATGGGTGCGAGGGAAAGTGTAGGGGGATAGAAGGATGAAAGTACATAGATCTGTCTGCTCTGGTGCCTACTGCAGACTTCAGCAGTTTCACAATCCAGCTGCCCTCTGCGCCTCTCCGCTCCTCGCTGCACAGCCGCTCTACAACAACAGGAAGGGCCGGTGTGTGCACCATGGTGTGCACCAGTCCTGTCTCCAACCTCCCTGGAGGCGGAGCCCACGATTATCATTAATAACTCTATCTAAGGCAGAGATAAACCTGCAACATACCAGCACTCCTGGTTTTGTTTATGACATCGTGTTGCAAGAACAGACAAATTAGGGATTTATTTAAAGGTTTTCTATTTTGGACAAAGGTCCGACATGAGGCGCTGCTGGTACACTATCATTGTTAGTCAGCACTGTCCTCTAGTGGACATGATCAGGAATTGCAATTGGGGCAAACGTCGTTTTTACAGTTCAAAAACGACAATGCTGACGTGTAGTTCAGTAGTTGAGTTGTTACAATAATTGATTAACTCTAATTATATGACTGAAAGTAATAGTAGATGCATATTTTTTTTGTATTGAGTAGAAGATAATCTTTTAAGAGGTTCCAGGGATCAACTTGGCACACCTCTCCAATTCACTTAAAACGCAAAATGTTGTATTTGGATTCTGACACATGGCTAATGTAATGTTTATTTCACAGAGTAGACAACATCTGAATAAAAAGTAATCGAAATATGTTATTTTTCCAGGGCGAGGAAAGAATGAGCGGAAAGATAGAAGAAACCGCAACAACAGGAGAGACAAGAGCAGTCAAGAGGTTCTCCGAGACAGGAAGCGGGAACGGGACAAGAACCCAGCAGAGCGCAACAACTCTGACAACAGGAACAAAACAGAGCACAGGAGACGCAGAGACCAGCACTCTGAAACTGTCCAGCCTGAGGACAGTGTCCTGGGACACCATGACTGAGCCCCTGTGTGGCCCCCTGTGTGGCCCCCTTTTTCGCACGGTCTCCCCATGAGCCCCTCTGTGGGGGTGTTGCTGCTAAGTACCTGTTTTGGATAAATTGATTGTGCACAGATATCGTGGGCCACAAGACGATCAAATGCTTGTTCTCTGTAAATAACTTCATAACTTTCACCGTTGTGTCTCTCTGCTAAATAAAACAAGAGAAACATAAGATGCTACTGAGAACGCAGAGAAAGTCAAAATGGCTGAAGTTCTTAATGGACAAAGACAGAAATATGTACAATATTATACTTATTGCTATGGTTATTTAATGGGTCCTTAGTACCATGTTGGTTTTTGAATGTAGATTTGTTGCAACATTATTTAGATCAATTTGTTTATTATCGCTGTTTCTGTTCAAAAGTTCTCGATTTGTTTATGAATTTTGTTTAGAAAATCTTTGCTCACCCCTTGAATAGGAAAAGCAACTTGTCATTATGTAAATGTTGTGCAAAGCATGACATTCTGCCACTGGCTCTTTGTGTAAGGTAAATGGACATACTCTAAATGTCCCAGATTAGAACTCCAACACACCTGTACATCAAATAAAATGTAAAAACTTTGTCCGAGTTCAATATCTGTTCAGTTTTTGTTCTCATATTTGCAATAAGAACAAGGAAAAGTTTGTAGGATTATTTATAGGTCCGAGGAACAGTTTTGGACTATGACTTTTAGTGACATCTGATCTGCTAAAAGCCCTTCCAGGCATTTGAGTTGCAAATGATCTTTGGCAATATAAAAAATAACAGCATCAGATTACTACATTTGGTTGTTGTATCTGTCTCCATCAAACCATTAGGAGATCTGTGCTGCTGTGATCTGTCCTGCTCCACCCAGAGGCTACTCCATCTGTGCTGGTGTGATCTGTCCTGCTCCACCCAGAGGCTACTCCACCTCTGCTGCTGTGACCTCAAGGGCTGTTGCTGCTTATTACTATCATTATGTTTTTAAAATGATTTTATTTTTGCTGCTACTGGACACCTGAATTTCTCCTACAGGGGATCAATAAAGTATATGAAAAGGTCCCAGATTAAACCTTAAGGATGATCTATAACCACGAATCAACATAATGGGCGTGTAACTGAGGCATTTGACATAAGTTACTTTGTACAGTAAGAGAACGTACAAAAAGGTTTAACATATTTAGCTAACAGACATTTCTAATATGCCTTCATGTTTACAAGGTTCATATAATAGTTTGAGTATTGTAAGGTGTCTGTGCATGTTATAAATGAGGAGGAGTTCAGACTATACCGTTTATTGTTGGGAGTGGCTTGCTCATCAGTAACACCCTGTATCTGTATGTCATTACATTTCCTCTCAATAAAGCAGAGAAACCCAGTTTACAGTATTACGTGAAAATATACTTTTCTTTTCAAATTTACATTCTGGACAATGGACAAGAGTTGAACAGATAAATTAAAAGTGCAAAGCTGTCACTAAGTAGAAACAATAAATGTTTCTTTGCGCAGGATTGTTGTTGAATCATAGTTATTGCTAAAAAAAAAAAAAAAGGATTTGTTTGGGTTCTCCCTAGAAGCTGTAGATAAGACAAACACATCAACCACAGGTGACCCTATACAAATTATCTTTCACAGTTCACTTCATGTTAGCCACAAAGTCCTCTCCTTTCTTGATGGATCCTTTGAGCTCGCCAATAGCATCTGCCACAAGCTGCTCCTCAAAGGCAGTCAGTTTGCCCATACCGAGGTTCTTCTCGATGCCACTCTTGCCCAGGAGGAGAGGAGTTGAGAAATATTTGCACTCTGTCTCCTCAGACCGGACGAAAGCACACTCCACCACACCTTCCTTTCCATTCATGGCGTCCAAGAGGGAGAAGGTGAAACGGGCACCAGCATAAGCCATCGACAGTGTAGCAGATCCGGCTCCAGCCTTGGCCTTCACCACTTCTGTACCAGCCTCCTGGATTCTCCCGGTGAGGGCACTCAGCTGGTCAGCGGGAAACTCTACCTTTGGTGTGCACTGAGAGATGAGGGGGATGATGGTCTTACCAGCGTGACCTCCGATGACTGGGACGTTGACACGAGCTGGGTCTAGGCCCTTAAGCTCTGCCACAAAAGCGTTTGCTCTGACAATGTCCAAGGTTGTGACGCCAAACACTCTGTTGGGGTTGTATACACCGTGCTTCTTCATGACCTCTGACGTAATTGGTATGGTGGAGTTCACGGGGTTGGCGATAACGCAGATCATGGCTTCAGGACAATTGCGGGCACAGGCGTCAGCCAAAGTGGCCACAATTGTAGCATTGGTGTTGAACAGATCGTCTCGAGTCATGCCGGGCTTACGGGGTACACCAGCAGGAATGACCACCACATCACAGCCCTGCAGTGCAGCGCCGAGCTGGTCTGGTCCGATGTGTCCGGTGACATGGGCTCTTGTCTCGATGTGGCTGAGGTCCGCGGCCACACCGGGGGTGTGTGCGATGTCATAGAGGGAGAGCTGGCTCACCAGAGGGCTGTTCTTCAGGAGTAGAGACAGCGGCTGGCCTATGCCGCCGGACGCCCCCAGCACGGCTACTTTAGCGTTGTTCTGCGATGTGGTCGACAGCCCACGCACAAGGCTGATGGTAGGTCTCACTGCCCGTGAAAACATGTTGTCTTAAGACGGAGTAATGTAGTTTGTTGAGAGTAAATGCAGAGCCGCTCTTCTCTGTGACACCAACGTCCTCTAGCCACGAGCTCCGGAAGACCTGCGTTAGCTTTGCGCATGCGCTAGAGATATGCGTCCTGCGTGCTGACCTCATCAGCCTGCGTCAGCACGCAGAGCTACGCTGTTGTCTTTATCCTTGCTTCTTTTTTCGGAGGAAAACAAAGACAGATGTGATCTGCAGGACGGGTCTGATCAGATTAAGACAGATATTTACAGTGCAAACACAACCCCCCCAGCGTACTGAAATATCAAGGTACCTCATGTCTGTGTTCTTTGGATCGTCTGTTTGTGTTGCGCTGCTAAAATAAGCTAACCTTAGCTCTGTCTTGTGAACTCCGTCTTTGTATTGTGGTGTTCATTTAACTCTTTCTTACCTAATTAGTTTGTTTTTAAAACACGCGTCCTCAACACAAGCCATGCAAGCTAATTGTTGACATTAAACCATTCGCTTTTCTCGTTTTCTCTTAACGCTATAATCTTTTAAATTAAGTTATTACGTTTGTAACAAAGAAATGTCAAAATCCGCGTTGTCCTGTTTTCAAAATGAGATGTATGTTTTAGCTTTTCGTGACGTAAATAGAATCCGTTCTTTCCCTGTGATTAGTTAGTCCCATACAACAGAGAAGCTCTTTGTTTAGTAGTTAGTCAAGTGACCCCCTCAGTCAGTCAGGTGACCTGCTCCTAAACTGAGGGAAACTAATTACCCTTATTTAACTTAGCCGGATAGTATCAGACTAATCCTCTACAGTTGAACCATACCTCTGCCTTCCACGGTCACAATTTCAGCCATTTGTACATTTTAGGTCCTTCTCAACAGTGGCATGTCCTAGCCTTCATTTGAAGCACTCATGATACAACACCATTAGAGTTCTCCAGTAAGTACCTGTTTCATTAATACAGAAATTATGTATCATCAGCATACAAATGTTTTCATAAAATATCATTATTTCCCACAGTACTTCTTGAGGATGGCTAGCTGCGGTGATGTTGACCACTCAGTGAGTTCACTGCCATCCAGTAAAAAAGGAACTGGTAACAACGCAGAGTCCCCATGCTCTGGTTCCAGCACTGCAACTGCCTCCCTTCCTGTACCAGAATGTGCCATCTGTCTGCAGACTTGCATACACCCAGTCCAGCTGCCGTGCCACCATGTGTTCTGCTTCTTGTGTGTAAAGGGAGCATCATGGCAGAGCAAGCGCTGTGCTCTATGTCGACAGGAAGTACCAGATGATTTTCTTGAAAGGCCAACACTGCTTTCTCCAGAGGAGCTCAAAGCGTCTGCGGGAAGCAGAAGCGGAGCAGGAAACGACCATGCCTGGTACTATGAGGGACGGAATGGATGGTGGCAGTATGATGAGCGAACCAGTCGTGAGCTGGAGGACGCTTTTTCTAAGGGTAAGAAAACAGCAGAGATGCTTATAGCAGGCTTCTTGTATGTAGCCGACTTGGAAAATATGGTGCAGTATCGTCGCAATGAGCATGGTCGTAGACGTAAAATGAAGAGAGACATTCTGGACATCCCAAAGAAGGGTGTTGCAGGACTGCGCTTGGACACTGACAGTACCTCTGTGGAAGCCGGGGCAGTAGAAAGAGAGAGTTCAGCTGATGGGGCAGACACATCAGTAACAGGTGCACAGCTCTTAGCTCCACCCCTCCCCCTTATTGTGAGACCCCCCACTTCACTGGGGGCTCAGCCTGGGAGCAGCAGCCCTTCACTGGAGGACGCTCTGTCACAGCTGCAGATTAGCCCCAGACCCACACCAGCACCTGAGCGCTCAGAGCCTGGAGAGGAAGAGGAGGAGGAGACCTCTCCCTCCAGATCATCAGAGCCCCTCACATCTGTTGACGAGTCAGGCTCTGGGGACTGGAGTGACGATGAAGATGAGGAAGACCAGGAGCATGCAGAATCTTGGGAGGACAGGCAGAGACGACAAAGACTGAGCCCAGAGGATAGAGTCCCTCATGGGGCTGCATCCACATCTCCTCCTTCGAGCGGCAGGTCTCGGATGCCTGATGGCCAGTGTACAGTGACTGAGGTGTAACCACTGACAAAATGTCCCATTTATTTATTTTCTTATTTTTATGATACTTAAAGTCACATGGCAAACGTGGGTGCATTGCTTACATCATAAAATTTCACGTTTTCTCCCGTGGTGAGTTTACGACACCAGGGAAGGGTGATGAATCATTTAAACAAATGTGGAAATTAAAAGTAAATTAACCCTTCTTATACCATTTTTATCCATTTCACAAAGTGGGTGCAACTAAAGACAATTAGGGAAACTGCACATTCATTCTGCTAACTACTGTAAGTCATGTTGTGATGGCCATATCACTGGATAAGGATATGGTTTTACAGCTATCCCAACATCTTCATGTAAATACTTCTTGGTTCATTTAATCAGGTATGGATTCAAAATATTTAACTAACTCTTAACTGTTGAAAAAAAAAAAAAAAAAAACACAATTTGACCTAATTTAGTTTCAACATCTTTGGTAAAGGTACTAACTGAATGTGAACGTTTTTACACTTTTCTTTAACTTGTTCTTTACTGAGGAGTATGTGGCCTCCTGAAGTTTGCCTGTTTGAAGAGTGGACTATTGAATTCTTGCTTTGATTCAGCATAAACAGTTTGTTTTTGTCTTATCGAAGTAGCTAATTTTAGAACAGTGCTTGTGCTTTTGCCATCACACAGACTGGTTCTCTTTATTTTGGTTTTACTTGCTTTGAGTGCAAACTAATAAAATAATGTAAAAGTTTATTCACTTTCCACTAAATGTAATCTCATGAAGAGAGGGTTCCCTGTTGTGTGCAGGGATTGTGTGCACTTGGAAAAAACGATCATTTTTTGATTGGACAAATGAGACATTTGAAGAAATCACAAAAAGTAAAGAATCAAGGAACCACTCTTTTCTAAACACCCATGTATGTACTCTGGGCAAAGTGGGTAAAGAGTCTCCACTCGATTTTGAAGCATTCAACACCATCCACCTCTATATCAGATAAACTCAAAAACTAGCTACTGTCCTGTTGCTTTTTTATTAGAGAATAGCTGTAGATGATGTACATAGTAGTACTAACCCAATGACCAGAATGCAGAGGATCTTCCTCACTTTGACTTGCTAGGTTTATCTGCAGCTCAAATATAGCAAACTAGTTGGGGTTGAGTAAATCCATTCTGGCAGTTTTGAGCTTGAGTTTTAAGAATTGACATGTATGAGTCCTCAATGTAGTAGCACTAAAGTAGTTCCTTAGAAAAAAAAAAACTTTGACCACATTCCTTCAAAATGGCTTGGTCCTTCTCATTTATGTTTTAACTTACTGGCCAAGGCCTGCAAATTAGCTGGACCGCCCCACACAGTCCCAAACACATCTTTCTCAGTCCTCAGGGCATCAGATAGAAGGAGCTCTCTCCCTGATGTTATTACCTTTTTTACAGCTTGAATTACAGAGGGAGGACCTTTAGTCCAATTATTTAGCCAGCTTTCAGCTTCTTGTAGAGCAGTCTTTTGGTCTTGAGGACTATCAAAGACATCATCTACAAGACCCATCTGTAATCCCCATTTAGCATCCACCTTTATAGCACCAGCAAGGATCTTAAGAGCATTTTGAGGTCCAACACGGCGCACAAGTCGAGAAGCACCACCCCATCCTGGGACAAGACCCATGTGTTTATGGACAAACTGGACAACGCTTCCTTCAACCATTAGTCTGTAGAAGAGAAAATACATTTTATAAATGTATAGAATACTTCAGTAATTGGCCAACAAAATATATTTTATTGCCACATGTACATAAGTGCACGATGTAAATCTTACACAAAATCACAGGCAGTCACAAGCTCTGCTCCTCCTCCAAGAGCCTTTCCATCCACAAGAGCAACAGAGATCAGCGGCAACCTGCTCTGAGGCAATACATACGTATTTAGTCAAACAAGTTATTTCCCCAGGATGAACTGAAAAAAGTTACCTCTGTAGTCTTGTAAGCGTATTTTGCATGAACATGCACATCTTCATCCCATCCTGAGAACAAAATATTTTATAGAAAACAAAAATAAGTTTAAAAAACAAGTGTAAACATAATCTTAGTATTATTTCTAACCTGTGGATTTGCTATTGCTCTAACAGCATTTAAGTCTGACCCAGAGGAAAACGTCCCAGCAGCTCCGTGCACGATAACAGCTTTGCCATCGGACCAGTTCTCCAACTCTTCCACTCTCCCTTCCAGATCCACCATCATGCTGCCTTACAGACAGAAACGGCAGTTTTCCAATAAATATATTTAATGAAACATTTTGCTTTCAACTTAACATGTGAGACATTGTGTCACATCATGATTCCAAAAAGACATCAAAACGTCTTCTAGTCTCATCTTACCTGAGAAAGCATTCATCCTTGCAGGGTTGTTAATCGTTAAAACCGCGATCCCAGAATTTTGTTTGTGAAGATCAATGGAGCCCCCTGGAAAAGCCAATAGCTTCTCTCTGATCTCATCCAGATTGAGTCCATGTGAGCTGCAATACACCCATCCACTGCACTGTCTTTGAAATAGCCTGAATAACAAAAAATGAGTTAAATTTTTAAACAATGTATTCATGTACTTTGGATTTATCGTAAAAGTAAACGTATAAACTAAACTAAAAATCACTCAACACCGTTGAGCATCATTCCCTAATAGATCCATGGTGTTGGTTGGGTTCACACTTGTCTTGACCTCTTAACCACATGGTGTTTACCTGACCCTGGCTCCAGTCGAGCTGCAGCTCTTCAGAAGTAGCTTCACACCACGAAACATACTGTTGTTTCTGCAGTCACATGGAGAACAGCCATTCACTACACGCACTGATCATTTATTTCTCGATCCATCTACATATAATTTACATACCTTTCCTGAGGAGTAAAATGACATAGAATAATTAATGGAATTATAGTTAATATATATTATGGAACCTTTTATCATACTTGCATGCCCGTTCCGTTTTAACAAATAATGTCTCTTCTATGTCACTCTAAAAATTCAAAGTTAAAAAAAATATTGAATGCGTGATTGTCTGAATGCTCGAATTTCGAGTTAATGTAAATAAAAAAACTAACTGCATATTATAAATCACAATCTGCTCTGTACAGACCGTGTGAAAGGGACAATTCTAAACGGAGTCGGAAGATAAACGTACATTGTACAAGTTCAAAACAACCATAAATACACACTCACCTTAGCCCATGGAAGCACTGCATAAGATTCATAGCAGTATAATACAGATTATATAGATATAAGATCTATATACATCAATGACCACACAAAGATAATTAAGTTAGTCCCATAGACTGTAAACAGTCCTTAGCTTGGCCCCACATAATAACATTGGCCGTATGTTTGTGTAACTCTGAAATCCTTCCCCCTAGAAACAAGGTGAAAGCACAAAGTCGCCTGCTTGCATATATTACCCACAAGAGGACGCCAAAACACTACAATAAAGGTATTCACCACAATATGCTCACTCAAAAACAGCCTGCCTCGTACGTGTCAGCTGCTCCTTACCGTATGGTCTAAAATGAATTAATTCCTAATTATGCTTTTGTCTGTCTAATAACACAGTCTATGCTAATAACACAGGAATAACACAGGTAACGCCACCTTCAGAAAGTGGGTCTTTAACTGGACTATTTTTGTTTTGTTTTTACTTTACTCTGAAATCCCTTTACCATATGTTGTTTCTTCCATACCTTTCAGAACATAGTTACAGGTCTCATCACTTTATTTATTTTCAATTTAATAAGTGTGACTTTTTTTCAAAGCTTCCAGAGTATTGGATTGACTTGGCCCAAGACCCATCTGCACCACCTGCGGCCGGGTACTGTAGGTTAAAAAGGTTTTGGGTCACTGGGTCAAATGCTCTGTATGGAATATATTGAAGAAAATATACAATTATTACCGTTGAATGGTTTAACACTTTTTTAAAAAGTACTTACAATAAAAATAGCTCCAGGTCATTTCAAAAGTGGGAAATTGGGCTGTTAGTTCAAATATTGGAAATGCACCACAAAAAAAGTCCCTGAAAGTAAATAACAAATAACTTAATTAAATTAAAATAATTAACATCATGTTATAATTATAATACAGTTTAAGGTACAATAACCTACTCAGCTTGGATATTTTAGCCATTGTAGAATGAATTTTATTTCTGATATTAAATTAGTGGCCCTGCTTAAACAAAACACACAATTTCTCTATTTTAATACACTGGCTTATACCTTGCTATCTTGTAATCGATTCCCAAATGTTACTAAACACATGGACATCATAGAACAAGGATGTGTTCCTTTGCCAGGAATATTTTCCATTTTTGTTGAAGAAACCAAATCATAGTTACAATACTGGGAAGACTGAGCAAAGTGCCGCGCAGAGTCAGGGAGAGTGCTGTGATCTGCAGGCGGAGACACTTCCTGACCTGTGGGCTGCTCTGTGGCTTTGGGAGCATAAATCCTTCAGTTCTATCCACACATCCTCTATTCACAGCCATCTCTGAGAAAACAAATGTGCAACTAAAAATACTTAACTGCCTTGTTGCAGGACACCTTCAGGGTTTGCATGAAGGTGATGGAAGTGCAGGGCAGGCACAGAGAAGGTGTCATTGAAAGCCTGATGAAAATGTTCCAGATGTGGATATTCTCAGACCCCATGAATAATCAGGGAAATTGTCATTTAGCCCCGTTGCGCCAACACATTTTGTATATATTTTATGTTTTCATTATGCAGATAATTGCTTTGGCCTATTGATGTGCTCTTTCATCCATGTGTCTGGAAACAATGTGGTGGGTGACAGACTTATGTGAGCTGATCCTCTGGTGCCTATTTAAGTGAGGAATCCAGTGGGGTCAACGGTACAGTGCCGTTATTTCAGGTTCACAGCACCCTGTGCAGTGCATACTGTGACCCAAGACTCCTGATCAATCAACATGGAAAAGAATAATTAAATAGGAATATCTATAAACAATAATTTATACTAATTATGGAACGATTATATGTCTAATTGCTCTTAAATGCTCGGCAGCACAGTGGCTTGATGAATAGTGCTGTTTCTAGTATTAATGTCTCAAAGAAAGAAGGTTGTGTGTTCTATCCCCGGCTGGACAGGAGTCCTTTCTGTGTTGTGGAGCACAGTCCGATTTAACTATAGTGAGTGGCTCTGATGCACCCACAAACAGTATCAATCAATATGCAGCTGTCTGGGACAGGAAGTGAGAGCCTGTCCAGTCAGTGCAACTCCAGATCCAGATAGTTCACAGAGTGCTGCAAATGCCACCGCATCATTGAACGCCGCTAGTAAAGATGCGGATGAAAATAAACTGAATTAACTATTACACAAATTTTGGGTTGTTTTCTGCAGCACGTAGTGGAAACTGATAGAAGTGAGGCTGCCAATCTGCATAGCTTCTCTGTCTACCCTCTCTCAGATCACCATTCATTCATGCACACACACAAGATTCAAAACAAGTAATGTGGGTGAAGTGGCTTGCCTGCAAACACAACAGTTTGTACGTGCGCTGTGGGATTCCCAGAAGTCTCCCATCACAGTACAAACCAGGCCATGACTTGCTTAGCTTCTGACAGAAGCAGGAATGACAGGTAACATGTCAGGCATAAGAGATCTCTGTATCAGTGCCATCTAACATATGTTGGCCTTTGCTCTGCCGAAGCTAATGATACGTGATTTATCCACAATATCTCCAAACACTTCGCTGTTTGCAAAATATCTGAGCTATGATTGACAGCAGCGATTTTTAGGATCTGGATTTCTAGTGTCTTAGGAAACAAATTTGTTGAAACCAGAAAATAAAGTGAGAGTAACATGTTGTCACCACAGAAGGACAATATTTATATTTGTATAAATATCATCTCTAGGGTAAGATTACTGGCACCACAACCACATCACACAGTTATTTCAGTCAGACTGTTCGGTGCCATGTTTCACGTCGAGGGTAATATGTCCATCCCAGACTACACAAGTGCATGTACAGTACATGTCTAAGGCATTGGCCAAAACGGGTTTATTTAACACACAGTTCATTACAACTGTGTGTCTGTTTGTCATAAAGAGGGAGAGGAATAATTATTACCGGCAGTTAATGTTAATAAGAATAATGAAGGTCAAATCTGAGGTGGGGTTGCAGACTTCAAACTTCAGTGGGCCATCCATGTAATAGATCACTGTGTCACCAAGATGTCAGGCATGGATTAAGATGCAGGCAATGAGAGTGATGGCTTCAATATGTAAGATAATCTGAGAAAAAATGATACAAATACAAGTTCCTACAAACCATCGCACCATATTGTACCAACGCAGCAACACAGAAACAGCAGTGTAGATGGACAATGAGAATATTTATTACACAAAGAACATCAAAGGCATCAAGTTAATTATTTTCCTCACTGAAATCTGAAAATGCACTATTATTGTGATCACTGGAGAAAGCTCAAAAAAGCCTTCCAGCAATTATGTAATGCACCAGTACAGACGTCAAAATGATCAAAACAACAAATACATACACGTTTTTCTGTGATGTGTAACATAATACAATCACTGGCATAAATTAAAATTAAAATAAAGAACCTAACCTGTGGTGCGGTTATACAAAAATCTAACTCCATTCATTTTTGTCATTTATGGTCTACAGTGTACTGTGAAGGCGGAGGAGAATATGTAAGTACTGGAATACACACATTTGTTGAGAAAATGTTTCTTCAAAATCTAATTCAAGATTCTCCAAATTGTCTTTGTCAGCTTGATTCTTTGTGATAGTAATATTAAAACCAAAATATGTTTATAACCAGAAATCATACCATAAAAAGTAGTTATTGTTCTTGATACGAGCATCTCTATATGTACTGAATATTGTTACCTCATGTTGCGTTTTCTCTGTGCATTTGCGTGAGATTGTGAGATTAGTGGACAGCTGTATATTGAGTGGAGAATGTGTACAGTACTGTATCAGCAAGGCTACAATAGTCAAGGCTAAAAGTCCACACCTGAGCTCAGGAAGTTTGATGATTGAAACTGAGATGCAGAAGACAGGTTTGTTCCTTGAAATTATGCCTGGATGATCATCACATACACACAAAGTCGTGTTTTTTGGTCAACACGACTCTATACAACTCAACACATTCTATAATCATACATTGGTCAAATCCTCACGAAAGCACTTCCATCTTATGTATTTACAAGTTCACAGTTTGTAGGTTCACTCAAGGCTTCTGGGTGGATCAAATAATGACTCTATGTGAAAGGCGTGTGAATGTGAAAATGAAGAGTGCTTTTGGAGGCTGAAAGTGGGCGGAGCAGCTGGTTTTGAGGAGGATGGAGATGATGTGGAGAGAGGAGCCCAACGTGAAGGTCGGCGCCGGTTGGCCGGGCACGCAGGTCTGGAGAAGGATTTTGGCTTCAAAACTTGAGATGTGGTGGAAGACTCTTGGTTTCTCTGTGGAGAGACAAATGAATTACCATTTAGGGTTTTCACACCATTCTGCAGACACAGTGCGATACAGATACATTACATTTTGTTTCATGAGTTCCAACTGTAGTCATCTTGATCCTACGGGAAACAACAAGCAATAAGCTCCGATCAAATATACCAAGTTGCAGTTCTTGATTTATGCCAATTCCAGGGCAGATGTTCAAATGTGTTTGATTTAATGATAATAATATAATTGGTTTAGTTATTATATATTTTCCTGCTCGTTAAAAAATCATACAATACATATGTTGTCCCTGATGTTGTCCTAAGCTGTAATAAAACATTTAAAATGGAATTACACATTATACTATTAAATCTAAGCTTATATATCAAGCTCAATCACTGTTTTTAATTTTCTTCTAGTCTGCCAAGTGATTTAACTAGATTGGCACAGGTTTGATTGCAATAAAAACAAATGGCAATTTTGAAGCCAAGACACGGAGGAAATGTAACAGAATAGCTTAGACTATAGAGGCCAAAGTTAATTACTTTAGTTACCCTTGCAGCAGTGGAATGTCCCAGATGCCTACAATGTAAAAGAGGCTTTGGCCTGTTTCTGTCTGCTGACACATACTAGAAATAAACAACATTCCCATCAAAAGTGTCCTCCATCAAGGGCATTTCCTTTGTCTAAGGTGAAGAACAAAAAGTTGTTTCAAGGTCACACTTTTCTACAGAATTATTTCTTACCAACAATTACTAATAGTTTTAATGTGAGTTTTCAATCATAAGATTTGGATGTTTTGTCAGGCTTTCATTTCCTTGTTGAGTTGGAATAGTGAATACACTAGACCCACCTGCACAGTCAGCTGAATCTCCTTCATCTCGAGGACCTTGTGAGTGCTTGCAGAGCGGGGCAGAGTTTCTCTGATGAACAGAGTTGGCACAGAGTCCATGTCCAGCATGTCCAGCTCCGGCTCACTCTTCTCGCTCACACTCACGTCGGGATTCGGTTGGTTCATGCTTTTGGCCGCATTCTCATAATTCTTTAGGATCCTCTCCACTGCTCCATAGTTGGAACGAGAGCCCTCGGGTCGTGGGTAGGCTGCCAGTGTGAGGGGTTTCCAAGGATGCTCATTCATCATTCGAAGCCCTGTCCGCCAGCAGTCAGACGGCAGAGGCGCATGCTTTGGCTGCAGTTTCTGTTTGTTCTCAGCAAAGGACTGCTGTGTCACTGCTGCTCTGGACTGAGGCTCCTCTTCATGGTCGCTCTCAGAGCTGGAAGAGCTCACACTCAAACTCATATTATCAGACGTAAGCCGCTCAGAGGTGTGAGCATCTGTGGCCTCTTTGCTTTGGGCTCTTCTCCTGAGCTTGACCTCAGGCCTTTGTGCATGTTGTGTGTTGTGCTCCCATTGTGCTGCATGCTTCTCTTTGGACAGCAGATCATGGGTTTCTTGCTCTTTGCTGATTGGTTGATCTCTTGAATAACATCTGTTTTGTGCTGGAGGCTCTGGGCTTTGCTTCATGATATGCGAGATGGAAAGAGACTGGGTAAGGTCTGGTTCGACAGCAAAACAGCGTGTGGGGAGTTCAGAGTAGTGTTGTTGTAACAGGGCTTCCCTTGTAAGCAGCTCCTCACCAGAGGCAGCACTTGTTAACAGCACTTGTTGGCAGAGCAAAGGGGTGAGATCTGAAGTTTCCTGCTCCTCCACCTCACGCCCCATTCCTGCCTGAAAGAGACACCGGTTAAACTCTGCGGTTTTCTGCTCCAGTGTGATGTTTCTCCTGGAGCTCTGCAGGACAGAGCTGGTAGAAGGCATATCCAGAGAGGAGAGGAGAACAGGTCTTTCTATCACAGACTGGGGTTTGGGATGCACTTCTTGACTTTTAAAATTAGCACCAGTAAGAGTGTAGTCCGGGCCCATCTTTTTAGCAGCAGTTACAATATTGACCTCTGAGAAGCTCTTCTGGACGGTCCCATAAGAGGGCACCTTATTTGTGAGCTTACTGGCATCACAGGACCAGCGGCTATGGCAACAGCTGACATTACAGTTTTGGTTGGCAGGTACAGAGCATGAAGATACTGTCCCATCAATCAGAACCTTTCCTTCATTTTCCTGGAGCATGGCCTCAAACTTTCTCACAATGGAGGGGCTGGTACACTTCCTGTCCACCACCACACACGGACTGTGGCATTTCCTGGCTGTGGTCATAGGACACTCTGGCATGTTCAGATCTGTGTCTTGTTGGGGGCTCAGATTCCAGGACGAGGAGCGGGGAGGGATGGGTGGAGCAGCAGAGTCTATTTCCAAACAGGTCCCTGCACTGAGTGTCTCCTGGTGGTTTTCAGGAGAAGAGAGACTTGTTTTCCAGGATGCTCCAGGTCCAGAGTGTGGTCTCCATGTGTTTTCAGGGGACAATGTCCAGTGCTCTCGTTCTAATGCTCTCAGCTCATCATAAATTTCACTGAGGTCACATGGTTCAACCACATCTGGTCTGGAGTTGATATTGCGCAGTCCCAAGTCTCTTTGCTCTGGATGACTTCTGAAAATATATACAAAACATATTCTTAAAAAGTGAATACTTGTATTTAACACAACTGTCTAGAAAGCGGTTTACTACATTGTTACCTATTTTCTCCGCTCTTTTGCCTAATCTCTTCTTGGTAGCTACACAGCTCCTCGCTGACTCGTGCGATCTCCTTAAGAGCCTGGAAGAAGAGGGTATTGCAAAATAATTTACTAATTTAACTTTTTTTTTATTAATAAGAGCAAATTAAGCAAAACATTGGTATATTGTTGCCTCCTTTCTACTGGAAAGCACCTTATACACATACTCAAGACTCACAGCATTGAGAGCAGTGGTGTTCCGTTTCTTCTCACTGCCATATTTCTGGTCTGTCCACAGAGGATTTTCTCTTGGATTCTGGACATTTTCATTCTCTTTGGCTGTGGGTATATGGGACTCTGCACATCCGTGGAATAAGATATTATCCAACTCCTCTGTATTGGCGCCTCTTCTCGACCTCACAGCCTCTTCATAAATCGCTTGTACTTGAGCGTGTGTGTTCGTGAGGAACCCAGCGGTGAGGTGACTTTGACCATCCCTGCTCGGCTTGTTGTTGCTGCCAAAGTGAGAGCACAGTGTTGATCTTTGCTCTGATTGGCTGCTGCTGCTCAGGAGGCTGGAGCCGGTGCTGCTGGAACAACGGCTGAGTCTGGGTTCCGTCTCGTCATAGTTCTTTCTGATGTCCACACCCACACCTTCTCTTTTGGTCCTCACCTCACAATACAACTACAAACAAAACAGACAACATGGTGAGTTCATAGAATAATAATCATAGCCGTCCATATCAAATCACAATAGCACAGACCGACTAAGATGGAGCCCTAAATCCACCTTTAGGGCTTTGGCAATAATTGAAATGATCAAGAACGGAATAAAAAAATTGACAAACAAAATGATGTGGTTGTTACAGTAAAAGGAGCTTAAGAAGGAGTAGTTGGGAGGACAGTTTTTACCGCTTCTCTCTTATGTGTCCTCACTCAATGTGAAAGTTTGCCAAAGATTAGTTCAAAGTTAAGTTGTATTTGTCACACAAGTTTGCAAAGAAATGTAGATTCATTTGTTTTCCCAGATCGCCCAGACCTATCCACCGTGTAATCTAAAAAGTAATCTTTTAGAAAGAAAGACTACTAATACTGAATCTAATAGAAGACTACTAAAATCCACAACAGACAAAAACAAAAGATAAATATCTAATGTTAGTCCCATATGAACCAACTCGGACTCTGAGGATCTCCTTCTAGTGCCCGGAGTCAGAACTAAACATGGGAAGGCTGCTTTTCAGATTCCAGCAGCTAAAATCTGGAACAATCTTCCTAAAAATGTGAAATAGGCCTCTTCTCTGATAAATCCAGGTTGAAGAGAGCTGTGCATACAACTGAGGGATTTTCAGGGACTTTCTTTTTAATGTACTGTGATTATTCATGATTTTAATGCTATCTTGTTTTGTTCAGCACTTTTGGGTGCCTTGTGTATGAATTGTACCATACAAATAAACTTGCATTGCCTAGAAAGTGTCCTTTTTTCATACTTGCATATTTCCACTTTTCCTGCCCCCTTCAAAAGATCCTAATGTAACAACACAAACCAAACATTGAGACTCTTCCCATTCTTTACGTGCAGCTGCAATGATGAGTGACGTGTTTATGCGGTGCACAGGAAACTTTCGGGGAAGGAGGTGAAATGACGAACGTGATCACAGGATGAGAGTTGAGCAAAGTTAGAAAAGAAACCCCTCACACATTTACCTCTTCTATTTTCCTCTGCATATCCTTCAGCTGACATTCCCATTCCCTTCTCTCCACGTCAAATCTTTCCAACAGATCTGCCTTCTCTCGTAGCCAGTCTCTCTCATTGTGCTCCAGTCGGTAACGCAGGTCCATAGCAGTCGTGTGGGTATCAGCCAAAATCCTTTTTTGTTCCTCTCTCTCTCTGCAGAGCGAGTCGTCCAAATATTTTTGAGGGCTTCTCTGTATTCCTCCAGCCCCAAGACCTGCTACCGACTGAACCCCTCCGGTCACCAGCCGAGAGCCCGCTCTGGATTCCAACTGCAGATGTAGACAATAACAAATTAACATATGGAAGGGATTGTCAGAGTCAATGAGTAAAACTTAATCTTGTCAAAGTCGTTTTGTCCAAAGAGGAATAGGAGAATGAAGGAGTGGCAGGATATATGGGAATGATGTGCCAGAGGGACAAGTGTGAGTGGGTTCGTTGCGGGGAAGTGTTTAGAGATGAGAGGCATGAAAATATCCTGAAGTTAAGTAAAAAGTTCACTGGCTCAGGGCTGCAGACTCTCAAAGGTCTCATACTAACACCGGATACAGCTCAGGATACAAGCAATTTCAGGCATGTCAAAATAAGTCTGTGCACAATCTACATGGCCACAATCCAATAGCAGTATTTACAACTTCTTTCTCTAAAACAGCATTGCCATATTTGCAAGACACAGTTGCCAAGCCCTGGCTTCACATGGAGGGAAATTCTCTTAATTAGACTGCCATTCAAACTTCAAATCTGTAGTAAGTGTATTTGAAATTTACTGGAACAAAACGTACATTTTGGGTGTTGGTATGGACTTGTAAACCTAAAAACAGCTGGTCTGAATGCAAATGTATGCACTTGCAATGTTGTTGTTGACATGAACAGACCAGAGTGCGTTATTTGAGTGTGCGCTCTACAGACATTGACCGAAGCCTTCTTACCAGCCACAGTCATGGTGCTATTTCTGCTTGTGGCCTAGGGTAAAAACTATGGTGTAGAAAAACAACTCAGGCTTTTCTGTCTGCGCAGGGCTTCACTTAAAACTATCCGCAATTACATATGCATAATGACGGGTGCTGTCCACAGTCTATTTAAACAAGTGCATGTAAACAAGTGCAGAAAGTACACAAACAAGAAAGATGAAAAATCTTCAGCTAGAAATAGCTTTTTAATAAACAAAACTAGGTGTACTATTTATGTTGGCCTCCATTCTGATCTATGTATTGTAACCTTATTTCTTTCAGTCAATTAATCAATTCTTCTGCTGTTGTCCTCCAACATGTGAAGATTCAGAGGTTCACATTAAAAAGCATTGGTGTTACTAGTGTTAATGTTAATATAATGTGCAGGTGCTTTTTCATTTTTTCCAACTTGAAGCATTGAACTGCCACTAAGACCACCCTCACTCATGGTATATGAGGGGAACTGTGTCAGTGACCTCCTATTAATAGTGGGCACACAGCCGTATACAAAGTAACATTCCTGTGGGAGGTGGGAGCTGAGGTAAGGCAACAGGGCAGTCACAGCTGAAACAGAGTGAGATGTCCATCAGCTGCCAGCAGATTTGGTAAAAATTGACAGAGAAAAATATGGCTGTAAATACACTGACCATGTTTGGTTTGAGTGGTAATCACTGTGGTTAGCGTCATTCCTGAGTTTTCTGATTTTGAGGAAAACCTATTGCATAAAATCCTTCTGTACTTGGATCAAGGGTAAATATTATTCAAATGATGATGTTAAATGAATGTATTTTCACAAAAAGTAGTACAGTAGCTCAGTTGGTAGAGCATTGGCCTTTGAGCCTGAAGGTTGTGGGTTCGAGCCCACCGTAAGACCTACTTCACAACTCCCACTGATGACTGCTGTCGTTGTGTCCTTGGGCAAGACACTTAACCCCACTTTGCCTGAAGCTCCCACTGAAAGATCTCAGCTTCTGTGGACTCACCACCTGCAGGAGGATCAGTGAGGGGCTAGTGCTCTGTGTACTGGGTGGCATCGCTGGCCACCCCCCCGACCCAGAAATGGATTAAGGGGAAGAAAATGGATGGATGGATGGATGGATGGATGATGATGTTAAATGAATGTATTTTCACAAAAAGTAGTTCGTCACTATATTCCATGTATTGTTAGAATGTATCACTTCAGGTTAAATCACAGCAGCAGTTCTGTCATCTCTGTGATATTTCTCACCTATGTTAACTTTTGACCTCTACAAAAGAACAGTATCTGCATATGTCTATAAGTCAGGTGAGCTTCAGAGAAGTAGAAAAAATAACTATGTTTTGAATTTGGAAATGGCCCAAAATAAGGTTGTAGTAAACATGCTCTCACATATAAACTGTAGCTGAACAAAACAGCTTTTACAATGGATTACACCACGCCTTCTGTGGCTTCACTTCAAGTCACATTTTCCTAGTCTGTTTGTGCAATCACTTAAGACATGCCAGTTCTACATTCTTTGTGTTTTAGTACATTTCCTACAATGATCCCGCAGTGTGAATCATTTGATCCAAAGTATAGAGTATAGAGTTTTTCACACCAAGAAGAACCTAAGTACCTGAATTAATGCCTATTAGTCTCAGTTTAGCGAGGTTAGGTAGACATTATTGTTGCATTTAGAGATTTTTTTCTTCCTTCCTCCATCCTTGGTGGTCGCCACCATGCAGCGCTCAGGGACCCATCTCCAGACGTAAATGTTCAAGGTCAGAACTACCAGACCAGAGCTGTGGTACATGTTAGGTTGGTGAGGGAAGCCAGAGCGACCGGGGCAAATCCAGCCAGACAGCAGGAGAAAGACGCAGACAGAAAGCCTTGGTCCGGAGCGGGATCAAACCTACAACCTTTGTGCTGTGAAGCATGAGCAGTACTCGCTCAGGTACCGTGGTGCCAAGGTTATCTCTTTTCTAACTTTCTAACTAACAGATCTTTATCTGATGTATAAGCTTAGCGGTGTAGTCTTTATTGTTGGATTGTGTGGGTCTGAATGGCCAGGCCAGAGCTTAACCTAAGCACGGTGGTTTTCATGTTCACTTGGTAAGCAGAGAAACATACTGTTTGACAAATACCATGATAATAACACATGTACTGGTGGCTCTGGAGCATCAGACTTACCTGTGCAATCCTTCGTTTGAGCTCCGCCTTCTCCAGCTCCCAGGAGCACCTGTCTCTGGTGTACTGCAGCTGTAACTCACTCCTCTTCTCCTCCTCTCTCTTCACTTCTACCTGCACCTCCTCCAAAACACTCTTTAGATCCAGCAATATCCTTCTATTCTCACCTCCCTGCAAAAACACCAACAGCAGAAAATGAGAAAGGATTTACTGTAAGACCACACAGAAGCATTACACTGATCTAACATTGCAGCATACTTGAATGTTTGCCACTTCTCTCAATAGTGACTCCTTTTCTCTAATCCATTCTTCTTTATCTTCAGTGTGACGCTTTTTGAGTTCCTCAAATTTCTTCTTGAGCCTTGCGTGCTGCTGCTGGGGCTCCGGCCCGGGCCACATCTGGCCCCTGAGTTCAGACTGAGCTGCTCCGTGCTCTGCGCCTGAAGCCTGAAACTGCTGCTCGTAGATCTGACTGAAGACAGTAGGCGGAGACGAAATCCTTTTCAGAGGATTACGGTGTTTGGCTTTGCCCCTGTCCATCCTGGAGCAAGGGACAAACTCCCATCCTTGAGACGGGACGCCACCTGCGCCGCCCCCCGCCTGCAGCCCAGAGCCATTCATAAACGCACTCCACATTTCTCAAAACGCCTCAAAAGGCAACATAATAAGTACGTGAATAATTTACAAAAACACCTTTCTGTACAAGTTCCAATTATCGTTTTAGAGCGAACATAAAGTCAACCCGTGCTTTCCATGCGCCGCTTATCCAAAGCCCACCAAGTCCTCCGCTTGGCCCACGGCAGCTGTCTTCGCTGCACTGTCGCAGTCAACGGGACACCACACTGTAACCTTCATGTCTGCCACCGAAGGAAGAACTATGCACCAGACTCCATCGTTGCCCGCACTTCTTTGCACAGTCCTCTGTGTACAGTCTTCATATCTGCTTTGAACTGAGGCGACAACACGGAGCTGGCAGACAGACACCAGGACAGACACCAGGACCACATAACGCGATGGAAGAAGGTCCCAAAATATCGTGGAGCACGCTGGTATATTTTTACCTCTTGTAACCATGAGTTTATTTCCTTTGCAGCATAGCTCAGCGGCGTCAGGAAGCCGTGACCCGGTGCGCACACCTTTGAAAGCCAAAGTCACCAATCAACATGCATCATTAAACTTACCCTGTGAGCAGAGCCAAGTGAGTGGACACCAGACTATGCAACATCAGACAAACTCTGAATTATCTCGGCCAACTAACTCATTGTGCAGCGTAGAAAACGTCAAATGGCCCGTTTCAGAGCTGCATTGATGAAGTCTTAGAAAATAGTGCTATTACTGTTGGATGACTGTCACGAGGCATGCTATGAATTGTGGGATAGTATTCATTAAACAGATGAATGCAGGCCATAGACAACATGAGCACCCTTTCCTGTGCTTTTCCTACACTGTTGTTTATCCTTGTCTACTCTTGAGACTTCAAGTTAGAAACATCATTATTGAAACAAACTTCATGCATCTTGTCTCATTTGTCTTAAACTTACCTTTTGGTCGTGAAATAAACTCCTGGGTATTTATCCAATAGACAAAACAGATTATGTTTACAGCCTGAAACCAGCTGCGGGCGCCAATCTTAGTCTGAAATAGAGGAATAAAAATTTGCTTTCCCCTCTTCGTCTCTGCCTCTGTCCACAGCTGGCTCTAATATGTGACGTCAAACATCCCATGGTGGGATGAAAGCAGTGGACCAGTCCGCCCCTGCACGGTCAGGTTCGCTGCTTTAACAAGCTCAACATCAGCACATTGGCTGAAGCAGACCCCCGTTGTTAAACACTCCTGTTATGAAATGTAACATTTACACACACAGAGATGACTCAATAGTGTGAATTATATGAGGGGCAGCCCAAACCTTCTCCAGCTTTATGGGGAAAAGTATTTAATTAACTTGGGTTGGTGTATTATGACATGATGCCATTATATACTAGTCTTTAGGACTACAGCCAAGCCCAAAAACAGGAAATATAACATTGTCCATATTATTCATCCATGATTCACCAAGAAAAACAAACATTTTGTTATGCATTTTATAATGTGTGTAAGTGTTTACTCACCTACAACCTCTGTTAATGATGAAGCATCTAAGTGAAAAGTTGCTCTCTTGAAACAGGCGTAGTACGTGATATGTGATGTGTAATAAAGAAATATAATAATTCAAATTAAACCAAATCAACAAAATGAAAAATCAAACTTAAAGAACAAAGAATAACGTGAAAAGGAATACCAATTTGAAAATGGTGGCATAGGATAATGAGGAAAACAAGACAAGGATGAGTATCAGCAGAATGATGGGTTGAAACATCTGGGGGAAGACAAAAGAACATGAGAACCTGAGGCACATCATTTAACACCTACTTAAACAATAGTATGAGAGTATTTCCTTACAGACAGCGGCTCCTCCGTTTGCTGAGCTTCCTGTTTGGGAACATCCAGGCGGTCTATAAAGGTCTGCAGCTCTTTCCTGAATGCTTTCATCTGAGCGTTGATCCGATACAACAGCTCATGCTCCCGGATTCTGCAGAAGTATTCTTTGTGTTTAACAAGGAAACAAATACTAACGGTGTATAAAGAGGTGGGCAATATGTCAGAATAGGAATAATGCTGATCCAGTTTTTACATTTCTGACACCAATCTATGGTCTATGGTCGATACACAGTAAGAAACAAAACTAGTGAAGGCACTGACAATAGCAATTTATCCCCATTACAATACAGAAGGTTACATTACAGATAATATCATACAAAATGGACCTATTGTGTGGGAGAAAGTGTAAGAGAAAATTCAAAAGGGCACATGACAATAATATGTATATATAGTATCCAAATGCCCAGGGAATCCAAAAGTTGCTTATATAATTCTGTAACATTAACATTCTGTAACTTCACTCTTTGGTAACACTCTTAGGTGTAGTGGTTCCTTTGGCACCCCCTCTGCTGTTTTGGTTAGCTCCTGTTTGTTAGCATTGCTAGTACCGTTCTCCAATCGCCATTTGATCCATATACTGTATGTTGAAATATCCCTAAATACTAATGTGCTTGTGAAAGTACTTCAAACAACACACACTGACCAGGAGCCTGTCTGAGACGGTAACTCTGGAAGTAAATTATTATTTGGTATAATCAATACTGTGCTTTTGTGGTATTTAGCAGGTATCACTGCACGTAACTACAGAACTACTTCTGAGCCGTACAACATAGCTGACTATATGATGTTTCAGCCAGTAAACAGTCTGCTTACAAAAAAGAAAGGATATGGGCTTAAGCCAAATCAAAGCTCTATCCAACAAATGTGCCTCTATATTATTATTATATCTATAATACTGGTATCGGCACAGCTCTAATATTTAGTTTATAGTCAAAACATACAATAATTTCTCTAAAATCAGCATTGAGTGTGTGAATGATAACCAAAAACAACTAGAACTTCGTCCACAGCTGGGAGTGATTAATTTAGCTTGTAGATTTCTCCATTGTGAGATAAATAAAGTTTGTCTTATCTAATCTTATGCCATGCACCTTAATCTGAATGAAGTGGTTTATTTTACCTGCCCCCTTCCTCACTGTCGTCCAGCCGTGCAAACATCTCCCCGTTGGTGACATAGACGCGTGCCTCTGCGATGATGGTGCTGGTGTCCGCGATGAGCCGGTCTATGGTCCTCCCCAGCCGCTCGGCCTCCATCCTCATGTCGATCATGTGCTGGCGCTCCTTCAGGCTGCGGGACAAGAAGCGGCTGTCCACAGGTGAATACAACGAGCGCGTGGGCGTGAGGCAGCGAATGTTCCTCACTTCGTTGGGGTCGCTCTCCCCCCCGATGGGACCCTCCCGTTTGCGGTGCGGAGGGAGCAGGCGAGGGGAGGAGGCGGAGCAGGAGGGCGAGTCGTCATCCCGACCCCCGTCACTGTCTGCGTCGCTGTCCCGGGGGCTGGCACGGATGCCCAGGTGGGACGCCAGGTCGTAGCGCTGCATGTTGGAGAGCAGCACGCGGTTCTCGTACTGAAGCTGCATCACTTTGCCGCTCAGTTCGTTGATCTGCAGACGGGTCGCTTTCAGCTCCTCCTGAAGAGCCTCCATCTTGGCAGCATCAGCGCCACCTTTTACACAAGCATCACAGCAGTGTTAGTGTTGGGGAGAACCAAATACCTACTCACAATATTATTTTTCAGTACGGTATTTGGAATAACTTTTTATTTTGGTAGTATTCACAATAGGGCTGTGCAGTGCCTTGTAACTGGTATTACAATACTTACAATACATACAGTAGGTCACGATACGGTACAATGTTATAAATCTCAATAAGACAATATTTTTGTGATCGGAAGTGTAAGTTCCGTACAAGTAATAAACAATTTGGCCCAAAATAAATGTGTCCATTGTGTTTTTGAAAGATTTTCACATTTTTATTTTGAATCGATACAATAACCACAGGATTATGTATTGCAATATATTGGCAAAAGGATAGTTTATAGCAACCCTATTCAGAATACAGTTACTTTCATTTCAGGCAAGCAAAAATTGACAAAGCCTTAGCTGCCGAAACAATGCCACCACCTTAAAATAAAAATAAAATTATGTTTGTATATTCTGAGTATACTTGTAATTTTCTTTTCTATTCTATTTTTAATATTTTGATACTTCTATTTTGTTTAATGTCTTTCAGATTAACTAAATATTGTAAAACTGACTTGTCACAACAGGAGAATAAACATAAGCTAAACTTCAATCTTAACCCTTTGGGCCATTCTATGTCGTGATGCTGTTGCTCAAATGTATCCTTGTTGACCGAAGAATAATAATAAACTAAAATCTCATTTGGGGTTTTTGATTTAAAACAAGATATTCCATCAAAAATTTTGGAAATGTCTCTTTTAGTAATGTATGCAAGTATATGATAAATTAAGTAAGACAATAATACTTTAGTCTTACTATTATTGCGTGAGATATTAGTTCATGAAGGAAGGGAAGGCGTACTGAAGCCTTCTCGCTGCAGCCGACTCCTTTTGAGCTTGTACCAAAATGAAATATTGTAACTTGTTAAGTTGTGCCAACATAAGCAGCTCAAATAAAATATAAAAATAAAAATTGGGTCAATACTATATATACAGTACATAATTAAAGAAAATAAACGCACCTCCATGTCTTGACCCAGATTCATGGGAGCCAGCTTTGTATTTCAGTTTGTTCAGCTCACTTGTCACCTAAAACAGGATCAAAAAGTGGTTATTCTGGTTCAATGGAGAAATGTACATGAGGATCTTAAAGAATATAAAACTAGATGCTGATGGATTACAAAAAATATCATTTGCAGATGCGGTGAAAGAAGAACATTTGAATGAATAATTGACAATATATCACTATTAGCTTGTTCTGTTTAGTATTCAAGTTAGTGGGTATAACTTTGTAACATTTGAAAAGGTGATGATTTTTATACAGGTACCTTTTTGTTCTCTTCCTCCACATCAGCTAAATTCCTGCGGAGAAGTTCGGCCTCATCCTCCACCAGCTGCAGCTGCTGCCTCAGTTCAGACAGAGCCTCCCCCTGCTCTCTGCACTGCTGCCCCCCAGTGCCTGAGCTGTCCACTCCTGCTGCAGCCAGACTGGACACAAGTGCAACGTCCAGTAAGTAAACAGTGATAGATCCTCTTTTTTATAACATGTTTATTTTTCCTGTCAATTTTTTTTTATCTTAAACCCTTAACAGAATTAACAAGCCAATTGATCAAATATATCCATCTAATGTGACATAAAATAGAGATGTGTCCCTTTTATATAGATTCAACATTCTGGGGTGAACCAATACCAGTTTGAACTCCTTACTCTTAAATAAAATATACAGTGGTCCAAAAGTGTCAGGGATGTTACACGGGTTCTGCTCGGAGCCTTTCGCTTCATTACACTCCTTAAATCTCATTTCTTATTACTCAGTCAACTGAATGAAGGGAGCAGAAACAGACACTTTGATGGATTGGTAAGAATTCCGTTGAAATATTCAATAATATGGATTCCTGGTAAATCAAATAAAACGTGTAATCACATTTAATTTACCCTTTATGCTCTGGGAATTTTGAAGCTCCCAGCATGCACTGGCAAAATATTTAACAAAAGAGTCACTGAAAAAAGCATTCATCCAATAATACAACAATAATAATAATAAAACAGTTTCTCACAAAGTTTTCTCTTAAAATGTGAAAAGGGAATAGTTCAAATGCAACATTTGGTCATTCTTCTCCAGACTTTGGAGTTGGATCTTTCTCTGTGCAGAGATTGTTCTCACTTATATCCGAAGTGAAGGGAAAAACGTACAGCACAAGATCAATTCTCTGGACACAGTCAGTATTTTTAACAAACTGGTGCCAAAGACAACGAGGTAATTGTTATTTTCCGATAATCTGGGTATTTTAACCTTGGAATATTTTGTGGCGCAGTGTTTGGTCCTATTGCCTGTAAATTTCCAATTCCGAAATCTAATACTGTGGTAGGCTAGTAGGAGCCTCAAAGACAGATCATTCCCAAACATTCATATTGTGACGACAGAGAATAAAAAAACTCACCTGTCTTCTCTCATGTCATCGAGCTCTGCCTTCAGCCCCCGGTTCTCCACCTCCAGCTCCACGATCTTCCTGCCCAGGATGTTGGCCTCCTCTTCCACCAAACGTAGACGCAGCTTTAACTCTGACTCTCGAGTGGTTGGAGGTCCTCCGGCTTCTCCTTTAGGCAGAGGGCTGTCCACGTCTCCATAGAAGGAGCGGTACTTGTGTACTTCCTGGTCCAGTCTGTCCTTCTCTTTGTCAATCTTTGCCATCTTCTTTCTCATCAGGATAGCTTCCTCTTTGATGAGGGAGAGCTGGCACTTTAGGTCCTCATTTTCCTCCTGAAACATTGAATAATTTATGTCTGTTTTTATGTTACACATATTCAAGCTTCTTCAGCTTGTAAAGCTGGTATATGACTTTGAAACCAATCTCTTCATCAATCAACTTTATTGAACTGCAGTGGGCAGTGGTAGAGATGCTGACTCACTTCTGTGGGCGTCTGAGGAGTCTTCCTGTCCACTTTCTGCACATCTTTACTTCCTTTCCGTTTCAGCGAGAGCTGCAAAGAGTGGTCAGATGACAGCATTCAGTGATCTAATACAGAATCATTCCTCTAATCACCGTGTAAGAAAATGCCTTGTCATACTTGTGAGAGAAATATTAAGAAAAACATACTTGTATGATGGATTAGAAAGAGTTCTAGTTTAATTTCAGAGTAATTTGAATGATTTGTTCATTTGCACGCTCAGAATTGTGAGCGTACAAAACAATGGATGTATTGTATTTCAGTAATAAGCCTGTAATAAGCTTGTCTGTTCACTGATGTGACCGTGAACAGACAAGTGCTTTCTACAACACCACAGTGATAACACAGACAGCTTCACCTCTTTGGTTTTCTCCAGTTCGTTCTGTAAAGCTTGCTTGGTGACCTCCACCTCAATCAGCTGCTGCCTCAGCCTCTCATTCTCATCTTCTGTTTTGGTCCTTTTCTCCTCCACACTTTCCAGCTCATTATGCAAGCGAACAGACACATCCTTTGCCACCTGTGAAAAGGAAAACATGTCATTAGCACAATGATTCTCCACATTCACGTTCCTGAAACCTCACCTTGAGATCTTGCTCCATGCTCCTCAGCAATTCTCCGTCCACTTGGCCACTTTCAGCAAAGCGCATTCTCTTGCGCTCAGCCTTCTTGAGCCTGTACTGAAGGATCCTGCAGTTTTTGTTTGCTCTCTCCAGCTCCCGCCGCATGTCCTGCAGTTGGCATGCATCCTCCTCATAGAAAGTGTCCCGCATTTCGTCCATCTCTGCGCGCATCTCCTCAATCTCATTCTAAAGACCCAAAATAGGACGAGATGATGTTTCTGCTAAGTATGCATGACATCAACAAATGCAAAGAATGGTAGGCCATAAGGAAGTATTACAAGTTAGGACTGTTACCATAGTGGTTTAAATGTGTAAAAGGCATAATGTTGCATCAAACATGAATCTGAAACCTAGAAATAGAAGTAGACTCAGAAAATCTATCATTATTTTTTTGGAAAAACTAGTTTAGAAATATGGAGAAAGATGCTAATCAGAAAGAATAACCTACATGTAGCCTACTTCAGCTTAAAATACAGGCTGATGCTTCCAAACGTGTGCATTTAACAGGTACAACCAGTGATTTTTTTTTTTTTTTAAAGTCCCACCTTGAGATCCTCGTTCTCATCCTCCAGGCGCTCTATCTGGTCCTGTGCACCCGGCTCAGCCTGATGAACAGACTGAGGTGGACTGTCTGGTTCTGGGGACAGTTCGGGCTCTGAAGCCGGTGGAGAGGCTTGTTTTGTCTGCATCTTTGCTCCTTTCTTACCCAAACTTTTATTCAGATGGAACTGTATGAGCTCTGTCTGTAAGCATCCCTCCTTCCAGAAGCCCGGTCCGCATCCCACTGTGCCTTTGGAGCTCTTCTTGTTGCCATTGTTGGCCTCTTGTCCTCTCGGAGTCTTGCTCCTCAGCTTTGGGGACTTGGAGGCGCTGGGCTGGTCCGATACCACCACGCTGCCGGCGGACACGGGCGAATGTCCCCGGCTGCTCCTTCCGCCTCCCTCCGCACTTGCAGCCCCTTTGGAGGATGCAGTTTTGGGCTTTTGTGCAGCTTTAGTGCCGCTGTCCTTGGCTCCAGCCGGAGAAGAGGAGCGCTGCTGCTTTTGGCTCCTATTGTCCGTGAGCCGCGGCGCGTCGGCCGCTGACGGGTTCATCTTTGTGTCAGAGGCTCAGTCCATCTTCTCCAGCAGACATCCTTCAGCTAAGAGCAAGAGGCAAGCATTATAGCTGAGTGACCATTCAAACAAGCTCGTCTAGTCTCGTCAATGCAAATATCAGAGTAGTGACCGTCTCATTAAAGTCAACTGTAGCGCGCTAATGGCACACCCACACCCACTGTATGAATGAAGACTGCTCCCATCAGATACGCGAATACTGAGACAATTGCATTGTTTGAAGTGAACATATCTCATTCCTCTTCACAAAGTGGGCTTTCTTCAATATACCCAACAGGTATCTGTTGGCCGTATCAGGCCGACATGTTTAGCTTTGTGTTAGAATTAATAATCATCAGACCTTAAGATAAGTGAAACACTTGTCAATCATTTAAAGAGCCCCTTTAAGGCCTCGTAAGAGTGTCTACTGTTCGTGATCCAGTGTCTGGGCTACATTACACTGACACAAATGAACTGGAAGATCATCACAATATCCCTCCCATGGCCTCGACGGCCCATAAGTCGCCCAAACCACCTGAGCACTAAAGTGCGTCTGTGCCGCCTGCTTGTCTTGTGGTATATTCCTCCAAACCAGAAGCAGCAACAGTAAATCCAAGTGCCTCGAGGCCTTTACTTTACAGGACTCAAAACGGAACTGTCAGTCCGCCCTAACAGCTGCCACACTTCTCCAAATGATGCGTGTGACTATAAAGCATTTTAGGATTGAAACAATAATGTCTTACCGTGTTTAAGGGAGTCTTCAGGGAGGACAGCGGCTGTGATGGGGAGGCAGAGGATGCTGTCCACCAGCAGGCACCTGTTTTAATATTCATGACATTACCTCATTGCAGGGAGGGGCCATGGGGGCGGGCGTGCGCACAATAACCTCCGCTGATTGGAGAAATCCCACAGCTCCACGCTCGGATTTGATTGGTTGTAGCAGCTTGAACTCACCTTACATCTGTCATTTTACTGACCTTGATTTGTGGCCTGACACCATTAGTATGCAGTTTGTGCTGTCTCTGAACTATTTTAAGATTCGACCCCCTCCCACTTCTCTTTCTTATTCTTGTGCCCTGACTGGAATCATTATCTCATATGGGTAGATTTTAACTTAAACTAATTTTCAAACAGTGTAGCACTTTTTTAATCATTCATTTATCCTCTTTAATCATTCCTCCTGGGGGTCACATCAACAAAGGCTATTAGGCAATGTATTACATAAACACAGGGTAAGGCAGCCAAGAGCTTTTAATACATCCCCTTCTTCCAGCTCCTGAGATTGATTAGAAACACATGGAGCTTCTGTGCATCAGTCTGCAACAGTACGATAAAAAAAATATATATATATGTTTGTAGTGCTGGTTAATAATACCCAGATCAGTCCTGCAGGCTTTTGTTTTGATTTTATCCAATTCTAAACCACATGGATCTTTTTGGCTATAATGCATTCAACATTTTATATCACATGTTTTCTAAAAGCTATTGATCCCTAAAACGATGAAAAGTCTATTATCTGTATCCAAATGGTTGATATAAGTATTTCCCACGAGCTGTATTAGCAAGTGTTAAGATAACTACTGTTCCCTAATTACGGTTGGATTGCACGGCATAAGGTTTTGAGGCCAACAGAGCTGCTGGCCCTCGATCTATTGCTTTAAATAAGATAGCAGATGTTTGGGGAGGTGCAATACATTTTAGCCTGATTCTCCACATCCCCCCACAGCCTTCTCCATTCGCTTTCCCCCCTGAGACCATTCAATCATTATCCTGTATTAGGGTGACATAGACTAAGGTATTCTTCTGGGCCGTAGACTTTCCCTGTCAACTCAATGGAGGGGGTAGAAACAGACAATTTGACGCATTGGTTAGAATTCCTATCATAGTCATATTTAATAACATGGAATTCTTGGTAAATCAAATTAAACTTGTAATAATGTAGCCTTCATACTCTGGAAATGAAGAATCTCTAAGCATGTACTGGCATAATGTTGAACAAAAGAGAGACAGAGACAAAGAGACATTCATCTAATAATAACATCTCTCACAAAGTTTTCTGCGTGTGTGTTTGTGTGCGTCTGTGTGTGTGTGTGTGTGTGTGTGTGTGTGTGTGTCAAAATAACTTCATGCATATAATAGATATTAATGTAAATTTTGCTGACAATCCACATAAATCCATCCTCCCTCAAAATGGTCAAGAACAATCACATGCATTTTAAGAATGAATTAATTTGAAATGCGTACACTTTGTGGATGTAAAACCATAGTATTCAAAACATGTTATTTAATGACCTCTTCCTCTCTGTGACTGCATTTTACTTATGCATTTTTTTATTGTAAAACAGAGGGTAAATGGAGCTTCGTCTGCCTCCCTGAAGCTTTGAATATAAATGCAGCTTAAAAAAGTGCAATTGAAACTGAACTTTTGTTATAGTAATGAATGATGAAGAACAACATAACATGGTTAATGCTGATTTTACACATGTTTCTTGTGAAGCATTTCCGTAATGAGCAAAAACTAAGTGTGTGTTCTCAGCAGTTAAATCTCAGTCTGGCCTGAATTGATTTTGATTGGCCGTATTTGCTGTGAGTCAGACATTCCACTCCATTGCTCAGATAGCTCGGAGTAGTCGTCTCATGATTTCGCAAACTTTACATGAAGGTAAACTTGGAATTTTCATGTGTATTGATAAGATTCTGTATATTTACCTTGATAAAACAGTTAGTTGGCTTAAGTTTACGGTTTTCAGTTGCCTTGAGTGATAACAAGAACTCTCCTCCACATGACCCTCCTCTGCTATGTCTGCCCACTCGTATCTCTGCAAGACTCTCACACATAGATACACACACACAGTAATACACGTACACACACACACACACACACACACACACACACACACATACTGGGATATACGAGCATAGTGTTTTGTAATGTTTCTTCGCCCACTCAACACCCACCCCTTCACTCTGAGGCCTTGCTAAATACTTTATCGGGGGATATGCTGGAGATGGGGGTGATGGAAAGAAAGTGGGCGGGACTTGTGAGGGTGGTGCACTGTGGGGGGATGCCAGCTGGTGTGTACTGTTCCCATAGAAACCTTTGTCCAAACGTAAAAAAAGATTTCATATTAATCACAAATATTTAGGCTACTTACAAAAATAGGGGAATGATAAAAACAAATCTTAGATATTTTTGTCACAAACTGTTCTTTACTTGACTATATTATAATGTAGATCTGACTTCACTATACTGAATTCATATTGCTAGTATAATATACCATTGTAACAAGCTACGAGTGACTGTAGCGCCACCTGGTGTATGAAACTATTATTGCTAGCTTCAGCTTCCCAGTGTGGATTAAAGCTGAGGTCCCTAACTTTCAAACCATAAAACATGTAACTATGTAATGCAATCTATTGAATAGTTCCAAGCTCCTGTCTATAGCTTTCATGTACATATTTTTCATCCACGTTCACATGGACGAAAAGAGTGGTCCTCTCTTCTCAGCCATTCAGCGATCAGCAAATACTGACTCACAGAGCTCTCTCTTCAGTCAAAAGATAAAATATTTTATAATAGCATGTCTTATGTTAGGCTTACGAGCCTCTTTCTGTTATGTCGATCAATTCCAGGGTTGCCCTGGCAAAAAGCATGTTGTTTTTCGTCGTTCCATGTGAGAATTGTCTTCAATTGGCAAATCTTGCATGTGATTCTGGGACAATGCGGGGAACAGAGCTTTTTGCCACGCAATAGAAAAGTGTGTGTGAAATTGATCTATATATGTGGGAGAAACAATATGTATTGAAATATGTAGGTGAAACTAAGAAAATTCAAATATCTTAAAAAAAAATCATTTATTTATTTGATTGAACTTAAAATGTGAAATCAATATAGATTCATCCAAAGTGGTATATGCCTTTGTTTGTTTAAATTATCATGATTATGACTTTCAAAGTATTCTACTTTCGTTGTTTTATTTTTGGGGTTTTTTGCAAGCTGGGAACCACATATCAACATTATGATAAATAGCTTGACATACAGTACCTCACTTTGCGTGTAATAAGTCTGTCATATATTACTTATTTATGGAACAAGAAGTCTAAGCACCCCACTGTTAAGATAATCTTTTGGTTTTACTGTGCTATAGATCTTGGTAAGCTGTGAACAGTTTACACTTTAGACTCAAGAATATATCGAACTAACTTTACAGGCATTAAGTTTTATTATTTCAAACAGAAATCTGTTAAAAAAGACACATACAATAGACAATAGACATTAAAAGGCCCAACTCATAGCAAACTGGGGACATTCCCAAATGCGTTGTATACAAAAAACCACAAATAATGCAAATCTAACAGACATATTAGCTGCATGAATATGTATTAAAATGACAAATGTAACTTTCAAGGTGGAAGCTCTGTGACCTGCTCATCGCCATGGAAACAAGGGTGAATTACTTTGAATGTTACAAAGTATGGCATTAAGTTAAACAGCAGGCATTGTTTCTGTGAGTCGTGAGGCGACCACAGATCTGAACTGTAACTCGACCCGAGTGCAACAGGGAAATTGTTTGTTCAACTGTTAAATAGTTATTATTAAAGTTTAATGCCACATTGTGAAGCATTCCAGTTACAGATGATACAAGCTCCACCATTAGAGTTACAGAATGCACTTGACAAAAACATGAATTTAACAAATTGTCGCTCTGCTAATATTGATCCCTACAAGCAAGAGTTTGACTGTACATAGGATTCTGGGGAAACGCACTAATTCACATTTCATATAAATCATAGTATTTATAGAATGTACATTCTCACATTCAAGCCAGCTCAGGATATGAAGTAATAAGAATAAATAAAAAAACTTATAAGAGTCGTAATATGACTGTACCTTATTTGTTTTGCAAACAGTACTTTACCAGCATTTAAGACAATGACACCAGCATAGAAAAGACACCTTACCCACAAGTCCACTGTAAATGAGGGATGGAAGGATTATAGTGATTAAGACACACACAAATACACACACAGTAGACTGTAAGTAGACAATGCTAACCTGCTTGCTCTATGGACAATTCACTTGACTTACATGAAAAGTGAACTCCTCTAGCTCAGTAACCGTTTGTGTCACACTCAACATTCTGGGCTTTATAATTCTGTGGTGTTACTCCTTTGATATTTTCTATGTAAAATCAAATGCCTTCGTTGGCGGAGGAAACTCCAGTTTGCCATAGCAACCATCCTAGCAACACATCTGCCCCTGTTACACCGCAGTGATAATGACGGTGCTAATGGCGGTGCTAGCTTATGCACCTAGTCAGATCAACTTCTTCTGCATTCCACAAACACTCTAGTGACGTCTGCACTCGATTAGTCCACTCCTGATATCTGGCACACACTCTCACACATACACACAGACACACACAGACAACATACATGTGGAGCTATATAGAAAACCTGCATTGACTGTATTCTTAGAAAATGTCTAATATACATTTGATCTCAAAATGATGCTTCATCTGCATTTCTTCTGATCAGCTTTTTCTTAGTTCTACTGTAGACTTTCTCAAAAACACTGTAAACTTCATTTAAGCCTGGCCAACATTATGAGATGGCTGGAATATTTATACATCACACAATACTGTACATCTGATCAGTTTTATGATATTTATTAGTTAAAAAAAATGCTATAAACTAAACTAATCTATAATAATTGTATCCTAAATCTTATCTGCCCATAAAGCTTTGCGTGAAACCACTGATTTTATTGTTTTAAAGCAGATCTGTTCCTGTGCCTGTAATCTCAAGATTGCTTTGACGAGAAAAAATACCTCTATCCTTCTCCGCACTATTACACATCTTTTTGTCCACGTGTTTGTACATAACTTACTTGGCACCACATAAGATACCAGAAACTGTTGCGATACTTGTCAATCTACTGCATGTATTGATGACTTTCCTTATGGGTCATTTTCAATAGAGCATTCTCACAAGATCGTGGCTCGTAAAAACTCAGGCATTTAACCAATTGCAATAGTTCTTAAAACCAAAACCTAATCTCTCTTTGCCCGTCCTTTCCTCTTCCTTCGTCCAGAGTTCTCCTGGTTCTTTTCCTCCCTGTTCCCGGACGATGTGGCTCCGTTTGTGGCCTTGTTCAGTCCATTGAGAGCCCCGTTGGAGAGGGACTTGGATTTGGAGGAGATGGCTTCACGTTTTGGCTGCTGCCGGCGATAGGTCTGGTAGTAGAAGTTGCCGAACAGAATTATGAAGGTGATGGCATAGCAGATGAGGGAGTAGTGCATCCAGTGGGGGAAGTCGCAGTTGACGTAGAGCGAAAGCGCGGTGTGTCCGATCGTTACGTGGAATTGAATCTGTGATTGAGGGGAAAAAATCAACAAAAATCAACAGAAGCAAAATATTAGTCTACAAACTTAAACACAATCTGCTCATTGTATTCTTACTTATAAACCCATCTATTATCTTTGTCCCGGGTATATGAATTTCAAACTGGATTCAGATTGTAAATAACGGATACATTATTCACTACTTACTGAAACATGTAAGAATCAATGAAAATATGTGGGTAGTCTAATATTAATATACCAAAGTTTAAACCTCAGTACCCTTTTAAGCCCCAGCATGTGTGGTTTTATACACATTCCTGCATAAAACCACTGTGTTATGCTATACAGTGGAATCCATCCATCCATTTTCTACCCTCTAATCCATTTCTGGGTCAGGGGGGTTGCCAGAGATGCCACCCAGTACACAGAGCACCAGCCCCTCACTGATCCTTCTGCAGGTGGTGAGTCCACAGGAGCCTTGATCTTTCAGTGGGGGCTTCAGGCAAAGTGGGGTTAAGTGTCTTGCCCAAGGACACAACGACAGCAGTCATCAGTGGGAGTCGGCGGAGAAGGTCTCATGGTGGGCTCGACCCCACGACCTTCAGGCTCATGTATTTTCTTTTCAAATGTTGTTAATCCATCAAGTACTGTACTGCAATAGTAAAAATCTAGTTAAATGTACAATAAGACACTTGTACTACAGCACTTGATGGATTATTCAGCAACATTTGAAAAGAAAATACATATAGGCCACACTTTTCATGTTGTAATGTGACATGTAAGCAACGGCTGATTAGAATTAAACCTGTAGACAATTTGTCACATGATTGAAGGAATATCTTATCTTATCTTAAAGACTGTTTACTAGTATTTTTTCCTTTTGTTTCTAAACCTGGAGGAGGTCAAATTAGCGAGTCTAAAAACTCTGCTCTGACAACAGCCTTAATCACATCTAAAACACATCCCTTGCAGTTTGTGCATCTCCTTGTGTCGGCTTTCTGCTGTTCACATAAACATAAACCACCGCTGATAGAGCTGCACCACATGGATACCACAATATAAATACATGGCCGCTTTACTATACAGGCCACAGAGTTTAAAGAACTTCTACAAAGTCAGTCCAGCAATTAAAGTATGTGTTAGTCCAAGTAATTCCCTAGTTTGTTATTGTATCTGTTCAATGACATTAGCAAAAAAGATTCTGATTCAATGAAAAATTTGATGGAATCAAGCACAAGGGAGCTCTCCTCCGGACCAAGAGCGAGTCAGGTCTCTGAAGATGCATTCTCACACATGATTCTTTTATACTGTTTTCAGTGCTGTCTAAATGGAAGGGAAATAATGTCTAAACTTTGGCTCATACTATACTGGAGGAGACAGAGACCGTGACTTGCAGATTATGTGAGAGGGAAAGAAATGTATAAACAGGATGGCAGTCACAAAAACACATACTGGGGTTTTGAAAAACAAATGAATCAGATTTAAAAGATAAACGTGACTTTACCATCTGAATAATGGTCAAATACTTCTTCCACCAAAGATACTTCTGGATCTTGGGTCCGCAAGAGGCCAGCCCATAATACAGGTACATCAAAACATGGATTGCTGCATTCATGTGTGCGCCAAAAAATGCTGTACAGGGAGGAAGGTGAAAGTGAATGAGAGGCCATTCATATTTTTGTCTTTTAAAAAAATGTCATAGAAATTAGCTGACTTTTTTACATTTTTAGATACAGTACACAAGTCAAGAGTCTGAATGCCAGTATGATGTATTTAGTAATCCAGTAATAGTAATCAGAGGTGGTAAAATACTCACACTGTCCTCCTGCCACCCATTTGATGCCGATCCACCACAGCGTGAACATGGTGCAGTGGTGATACACATGCAGGAAAGTCACCTGGTTGAACTTTTTTCTCAGAATGAAAAATACTGTGTCCAGGTATTCAACGCCTTTTGAGACAAAGTACCACCACAGAGCTGCTGCCACCTGTCATCATTAGAGAAGCGAAATACAGTATATTAACAGACATATTATGCAATTTAATGGTAGTTTTTAGATCCATGATAATATTATCTCTGATCTTATCTTGATGATCCACTCTGAAGTAGAAAATCCTCCTATATACATTTAAGATAAAATGAAATATGCTATAAAATCATATCATCAAAAAGCTCCAGTCTCAGTCCTGAAATAGTGTTATGTCATTGTGCCACTATAACATCAAACTCAGATCAGTTTTTTGCCTTTTTAAATAAAAGTATTGCCCGTAAATTACTTTTGGCTGTTTCTCAAATTAAATTACAAGTGACAATTCAATCACATAGTTTTGTTTTCAATTGGTATCTCTCCAATTTGAGAAAAGAAAAATCCACTCCTCCCTCTGGTGGTAGTATAGGGAGTTGCCAGGGAATAGCATTGTTTACACTTTTTCTAGTTAAGATCATGTCACATTCCTAAAATATGAAATGACAGTCACTAATCTCCTTATCATTTCAATGTCAAAAAAAATCATATTTATTCTTTAACCTGCGAGAATCTCTGTGTGGCTATTGTGGAAACTAGATGCGTGTCAGGTTAGTTAGCATTAGAATGGCTGCGTCATGGAGCAGTGGAAAGCTGAAACAATACACCAGTCCATGGACTACACCACTTTCTGAAAACAGGGAAAGGATCCAAACGAAGGCTACGAGGATGTGTTTTCAAACTAGTAAGAACATTGACTTTAAAAATGTGTTTGTTAAAGGGGAAATGGTCCGATTCCTACCGATTCATCCATTGGTTATGTTCTTTCTTAGCTTGAAATGTTGGTTTGGTTTAAGTAAGTAAGTATGTAATGTTTATTTATATAGCGCATTTTACAGACCAAGGTCACCCAAAGCGCTTTACAATGTTCAGATATTGTTCCAAGCCCCCAATCAATACCATCCATTCACTCTCTCATTTACATTCATACCTATTGTGCATGTTTTTTAGTGGTAGGGGAAACTGGAGCACCCGGAGGAAACCTACGCAGACACAGGGAGAACATGCAAACTCCACTCAGAAAGGCCCTGTTATGACCGGGATTCGAACCCCGGACCTTCTTCAGCCACCGTGCCGCCAAATTTAAAACATGGACATCGCTCAATCATTTAACTTTGGTGTGATTTTTTTTTTTGTTCTTTATAGAGTGAGCTTGTTTTCCATGTATAAAAGAAGAGTTTCATGACAATCTATATCAACATGTATATAAACCCAAGCCAAAGGCGGGCCCTCTAGGACAGTGGATGAATGCACATTTGGTGATTTAACCTGTGAATTGAACATATACTGACTGAAAACTCACCCTGACTTCATTGGGATCATCGGAGTAATTGACTGATTGACAGATATAACTGTAACCTGCTGACCGTGCTGCCATAAACAACTGAAACCCAAACACATCCCGTTAAAACATGTACAGTGTAAGACAAACAAAATCAAATGCATAGACCTGCTGTGCTACTACCTCTTTGAAGATGAAAAAGTTGAGGAAGACCATACTGAAATTGTAAATGATTAGAGTTTTGCGGAGTTGGAAAGCTTCTCTGTTTTTCATGTATTTGGGCCCAAGCCACAGGCACAGCAGGTAGGAGGTGCTGATGGCCAGAGTGGGCAGGGGGTTGTCCATCAAAGGCCATTTCTCCACACGCTTGTCTGTGGAGCAGATGGAGCATGACTCAAACACCAAATTATTTCAATGTACACAATTTCTGGTAATAATTGATAATAATCTTAACCCAAACCCTAATCTTAAAGTTAAATAGCGTTAATAATGTTAAACAGTGTATTATATCTTAAGGCAAGTATGGGCAATATTTTTTGCTGGATGGCCCCATTCAGATATTGTCATATTCTGGAGGACTTGTTTTTACGAGGTTACCGTTTCATTCAATTTGGCCTCACATGTTCTATTCTCTTTGAAATCTACAGTTAGAACATGATTAAATGATTTTTTTTTTTTTAAGTGTATAGTTTGTTTATAGCTCATAGAGGACACAAAATGTACCTTCCCCTAACCACAAGAAGCCGCTGTGGGCCTTGAGTGAACTATGCCTGTTCTCCTATAAAAGGGGGTGGTCGAATTAGAAGGCACAGGCGCTTGCTCATTTGCCCGTCGGTCCGTGTGGAGCGGATCCCTCTCTCAATATGTGGGTCTCCCCGGGGTTTCTCACTTTCCCACTGGGTTTTTGTGAGTTTTTCCTTGCCGATGCAGGAGGGTCTGTTGGACCGTCCAACAAGAAGGACTGTGGTGATGATCCAGGACACTTTAACATTCTACAACATGTATGGACCTTTATCAACATTCATGGACATTGGTCTCTCCCTATGGACCAATTCATATGTTTATATTTTGTGTCTTAACTGTTGATTCTCTGATCTGTGTTGGTGATTTCAATGGTTTTGTGAAGTCCTCTGAGATGGGCTATACAAGAATAAGTTGTTGTTGTTGTTGTTGTTGTCACATTATCACCAGAATGATTGAAAATTAGGAGGACCAATAGTTTAGATGATCCACCCGAAGTAAAAACCATTTCAAAATACCTTTAAACATCCATATAGTTTTGTTCTGTGATTATTATCTATTGAAAATGTGTTTCAATGTTCTTTTTTTGTTTTTCTTGGATTTAACCAAAAGTGGACCAAAGGTAAAGATGACTGAGTATTATAGACAGATTTTACAGATGTTAATTGTTTAATATAAACATCCTGGCTTTGAATGAGGCCATGGTAGTGCATATTAAGCTACAAACCTCCATTGGGTAGTGTCTCCCATTCATTTAAACAAGGCCTTTGATTGGACAGTATGAGTTTTACAGCTGGCAAGGGTCCGGGGGCCCCATAGAAACTTGAATCAGGCCGCATGTAGCCCCCAGTTTGCCCACGTCTGTATTTAGGCCACAATGATGAACATAGTTGATTCATTGTTCAATAACTCATGGATGGAACACCATATTCAGATCCAATATTTATTGTCGGTGTATTTTCTTTGCGATTTGATACAAGGTGAGCTGATTTAGTCGCTTGTATGTCTTGTTCTTTCTTAATGTTTCTGGGGTTTTTTGGGTTTTTTTCAGTTTATGAATATTGATAAAGATAAATTAACCCTGGTACCCTGGGGTCCTCCTGCTGTTCTGAACAACATAATTGCTCAAGAGGCACAAAGTATTGTCAATATTACTATTAATTTTTTAACCTATCGCCATCTTTTTTTATTGTGATACAGCCATATTATGCCTCATGGTTTACGAGTGTGATGCTGGAACCCACAATGAGAAATGAAAGTCGTACCTGCAATGGTCAGTGTCCATTTGTAGAACTCGATGGTGTCATTGATCCAATGTGTTACAATATCCATGTTTGACAAACCCCTACAACAAAAATATATGGGTTAAATATGTTTTCCATCTTGCCACATGACCATGTATTATTTACTAGGCCCAACCGGAAGGGACTAGTCTAGGCGCGTGTAGGGCCTGATGGATGGGCTTTAAAGCTTCATTGCGCACAAAGGGGAGACCCGGCCGCTAGAGCGCATGTGTCAGCAGATATTTGACTGTACAAACACTACAGCCTTTTAGATGTCACACAAGTTGGGATTTCCTGGGGGCCCATTTGACTGAAAAAGCTTTTCCCATATGGTTATAGGCCTTGGAAGTTCGTGTGGCTGAAGGAGCAATGGCGTGTTATTTAATGATCCTCAAACGCGTCCCCCTCCTCCCCTCCCTGCCAACCCGGAGGAGATCAAGCGCTGCTGCAGCATCTGGTCCCATATAGACTCATCTCCTAAACAACACCCATCACGTAAATAAATGTAGGCCTAATCCTGGCAAATGGTGAGGATGTACTCTTTTGCGCTGCTATGGCGTCGACCGTCTTGAATTTCAGTAAACACATCTGCCTCTAAATCTCTGCAGTATAACTAACAAGGCCTCAACACCTCTACCAAATGTGTGCTTTAATAAATAGTAACCCAGACAGTGCATTATGGGGGGACATTCATATGCAAAAATAGCCTACATTTGTGAATTCAACAGCAATGTGTGAAACGCCGCGTTTTCTTTCATCCTTAGAAGATGCTGACAGCCTTACCGTATGCACTGCTTAGAGAAACGTGTCTGATGACATTCAGGGAAAGGTCAGAGCGCGATCTTCTTTTATGGTGGAAAAATAGTTTGCTGTGATTGAGAAAAAAGGGTTAACGGTGAATGAAGAGAGCGCTGAGCATATGGCGATGGGCGAGTTTCTTGTCAGGGGAGCATCGCCTTCACTGCGCGTCTGCTCCAGCCTGTGCTCTTTGATCCGCCTCTGATCCACCGACAAGCGAACAGGCCGCACGTCGCGCTTCCGCCGTTATCCTCCAAAATAAGAGTCTTAATGAACTGCATTCGTAACACGATTTAAAGCTGGGGTAACTTTTTTTCTCCATCATAATACGCCGTATTTTTTTTTTCAGAAAGGGCTTTGAAAAAGTAAACTGTTGAGACCAAATAAAACTTGATTCGTCGTATTAGAAAACGTGTTATATGTTTTATACTGTAGCCTGTATGTCACATTTTCACGCTTTGGGCTTAGAGTTGAAGCACCTTTTTTCCTTTTCTGTCTAAAGAAGCTGATTTAAAGATGTGACAGAGACCCAAAACACAAACATGAGAACCCTATAGGCCTAGTGATAAGACGAAACTATTTGAGAAGAAGGAATTAGTTAGACAGATTTTTGTGATTTTAGTTTCATTTTTGTGGATTGGAAGTTATAGGTTCCCAAGCTTTAAGTGACCCACTTCTATAATGTATCATAATGTATGTATAATGATATTTCCCCTTAATGTAAATGTGTAATCTAATTGTTTCCCATTTGTTCCATCTGTCTGCGCGCAGCTTTACACGCTCCTCGTCCTGGATGAGAGAAGGATGCTCCGCGCATGCGCACAGGGTCTGGCACATGCAGCAGCGCAGATGGCCGCCTCGTTATTTCAGTATACTTAAGGAAATGCGGTTTAAACCTTCAGAATAAGCTATTGTCGTGTATCGTGACTCTTGCCTGAATACGCTTCGATTCTATGCCAGATTTGAAAGTGAAATAATGCGTAAAGCGAAATAAGATGGAACGGGGAATGGTCCATTGACGTTGTGATGGATGTTCGGACAACGTCACGACTTTAACTTTGAAACGATGTGCGGATATTTCTCTGTGCTGCACTGGCTTCATTGTTGCACCGGCTTCTTTCTAACATATCAGGTCTCCCATCACTGTGTTAAACAGCAGTAAAGACACGCTTTTCCAGTGCCTTACGCAGGCAGAATGCACGAAGAGACGACACTGTTTTGATTGACCGGGATACGTTTCTCCGCCTGCCGTCATGTGCCATAGAGAGGCCATAGCGGAGTTATTTATCTAAAGGAGGATGGCTGTATGTTGAATTCACGCAAGAGCTCGTAAGAAGGTCAAGGATATCGATGGAAGTATGAAGATTTGGAGTACAGAACACCAGTTCAGGTTGGTCACACTGGTTTGGATGATCATCAGTGTTTAAAGTGGTATAATACAACCACTAGCTCAGTCAATTCTTTATCTGGGCTTAACTCTGGATCATATCTTCTTTTTACGCAGTTATCCTTGGGAAACTGTTGTCAAAGCAGCAATGAGGAAGTACCCCAACCCGATGAACCCGAGTGTGATTGGCGTGGACGTGCTGGACCGTGGAGTGGACGCCAGGGGGCGCCTCCACAGCCACAGACTCCTCAGCACAGAGTGGGGTCTGCCCAGCATCGTACGCGCGGTCAGTGATCCCCATATTGTTATTACTTGGACCTAAATTTAAGTTTGATGAATTAGTGTAACGCATTACTTTAAAAAGGCATGGTATTACAGTTTTACATTACCAGAAAATCTCAACGTGGAGGAGTGCAGTCTTTCACGCACACCTCAGACTGTTTGTAGATAATAACAAAACATATATTGTATGTGTATATACATTACAACTAGAGTAATGCCAAAGAAATTTACGTTAATAGTGTTGCTGATCTTATTTATTTTAAAAAGAATTAATTTGTAAAGTTTACCACTGTTTACAGAATACATTCACTGCCATTTTAAAAAGGTCAGAATATGGCATTGTGCAATGGAAAGCCTCAGTATGGTTAGTTTCAATACTTATGTATTTGTATTATTTACCTGTAAACATCTCTGTCTATTTGCTCATGCAGATCCTGGGCACCAACCACACTCAGACGTATGTCAAAGAGCATTCCATAGTTGACCCAGAGGAAAAAAAGATGGAGCTTTGTTCAACAAATGTAAGTTTTACTCACAAACCAAAACATTATATTGGCTTGTATGCAGTGTTGGGGAAGGTACTTTTAAAAAGTAACTTTTCTGCACCTGGAAGAAGTAACGTGTCAAAACAAAAACGGCGTTATGTTTCTAAATTGATGATAGTTAACGCCTTGAGGTTGAGGTCAGAAACACGACTTACGACAGTTTTTCCTTTGCTCTTTTTCTCCAGATCTCGCTAACCAACCTCATCTCAGTCGATGAAAGGCTTGTTTACCACCCACACCCGCAAAACCCAGATGTGTAATTAATTATTATTCTTTATTCCCTCTGAGTGATACTTATAATATCAACAAATGTGACCCGAGTGTGTTAATGCTGTGATTACAGGACGGTCCTGACACAAGAGGCCATCATCACAGTGAAAGGAGTGAGTTTAGGTAGTTACCTGGAGGGAATGATGGCCCGGCGGATGTCAGCTAATGCCAGAAAGGTGATTTTAAAGAGCTTTCCCCATCTCCATAAACTCTGCATGTTCTGATTCATTACTTTATCACTTTATTCTACAACACACTTTGTTTCTATGTGTAATGTAGGGTTGGGATGCAATTGAGTGGATTATTCAAAACTCTGAAAGAGAGAACGTGCCACTGTGTGATATTTACTAACTCTGGTATACTTTCCTTTTCTTTGCCTTTTTTTCTTGATACCGGTGTAACATTCCTAATATCACTTGGAGTTTTTTCCCATCATGTCCAAGTAATTTGTTTATTATTTGTTTGTGCGCAGAGCCACAACATGACCGGGCCACACCTTCATGGAAAGTGGTCAAGACAAAGACGTTTATGCACTGGAAAGAGAAAAACCAACACAGCAGCCAAAGCTTATTGAAATAACTCTGGATTCAAGAGTTGTAGCTTGTTTTGAAAGGACAATTCACTCATGTAATTTTAGGTTTTCTGTTTTATATTTACAAGCAACACAAATCGAGAATAACATCAATATGCAACAGCGTTCTCAAATGATTCTTTTGTAAAATGCCTGGCGATGTTGCATCTGGTGGTTATTTTGTGTTCTTCGGAGAGGCTTAGGCTGTAGACGATATATTTGCATGGGAATCTAAAAGAATGTGACGTAGTTTGATAGAAAATTGCAGCCGCTTGAGATGGAAATACAATTTGCTTTTTGTGGTAGAAAAATTATACAATGGAATGTATTGTGGCTTTCTTCTGTCAGTGGGCTGCAAACAACGCAATGGCACAGTACAAATACCAATGGATGACCAGCACAGTTCAAACTTTTTAATCAGTTCATTTTTGTTTCTTTATCATTTACTTGTTCTTTTTTTTAGTTAAAGATCATATTTTTACATGGCCTTAAACTTATGCTGGTGCTTTTTTCTGTTTGACACTGAATCATGCCCAACTCTCCATTGTGCTTCCATGTTCCAAAAAAATACTACCTTTACTGTAAGTTTTGTTATTTGAATAAGTGTATAATAAAAAATATCACTTTACATATTTGCTGCAACTGCTTTTTCTGTACCTGCTTTTTAGATTCTATGCTGACTTTCTCCTGTACAACTTCTGCAATTTAGTGTGTTAGGGCTTTTTTTTGCAAATACGTAGGTTATGATTATAAAAGGCTTGGCAGTGCATACAACTGAGGGATTTTATATTGTTACTTTTTTTTATGTACTTTGATTATTATCTTATTTTGTTGGACACTTTGAGTTGCTGTGTGTATGAATTGTGCGATATAAATAAACTTCATCAAATATAACTCCTATTCAGTTTCAATGACTTAAAAGTAAAAGATTCTGGTGATTTAACAAATCATTTTTACTGATAATCAATGCAGAAAAGTACTTTCAAAGAGTAAAGGACTCCCGAACATCAAATTTAGTGAATAAAATGTGTTTGTAATAATTGCATCTATTGCATTGTAGTGCACTTTGTGTCCACAGGGGGGTGTACTTAGCTTTGTCTCATTTCACAGGAGCACACGACATGAACAAAACAAGTATTTGTATTTCCATTTATTGAATGAAACATAAATATTGAAATAGAACAGTCCTTTGAGTTCAGGTCTAAAAATAACAAAAGACTGATAACATTTAAAAACAAAGCGCAAGTGGAGCTACTCCCAGAAAACAAGTAAACACAAGTAACAGTAAAAATGAAACATGCATGATGTTAAACACAAACTTTGGTATTTAATCCCAGTAAGTACCACTATTAAGTGTCCATCACACTTGCTCATGGTAATGCAAAAAGTAAAGTGTACCGATTAAGAGCGTCACAAGGCACACAACAGTCCAGGACTAGAATCTGCATTCAAAAGCCATTTTTAAAATACATAAAATATCATCATACAGTTTATGAAAAAATATATAAAAGTGAAAAAGTTCAATACAAAATATATTACAATATTAACATAATAATATGACCAACTCACATTCAATAATGCATTGTAAAATGCCTACCATAATGTGTCAACAAAAAGATTTACCATCCCTTTTCAGGTGGACAGAAATAAAACGTTTTAAATACTGTGAGTATAAAATCAACACAAGTATGTAGCTGGAGCCTGTTCATGTAACTAAAAACTCATGTATAAATAAATTGCAGCTTTGCCATGATTTTCTCCTCAGACTATTCCTCACAACAACTTAAATCCCATAGACCATGTCAACATTTCAATTTCCATATACACATGGGCAATCACTGCGTTACAAAAACTGTACACTTATGTACACTTATGTACATACTACATCTGCCTTTGCCGCTTCAGAAATTGAAAAGGTCGATGAAGTCTTGTGGAGAGAGTGCCAAAGTGCAGCCCTCTGGGTTATTGGCTGTGCAAGGGTGATTTGTTTCCTAAAGGAATACAATTACTAGTCAGATGTTGATTATGAAATACATACACAAATAGATAGAATAAAAAAAGAATGCTTACCTTCCAGAAAAGAATGTGGCAATGGGTACAAAAGTGCAAAGTGTCACTATACTCTTCTCTGCGCGGATAACAGCGGCACAGCTTAAAATACATCTTCTTCCACTCCAAATGACCTTTGTCAGAGAGTATCAAGCGCTTACGGATCTGAAGGAAAATCAAGTTCCCTTTACAATCCAAGTTCCAGTAGTGCTTAACAAAACAGGTATCTGGTGTGTGCTGCGTACCTGTCTGTCGGTGAAGTGGTACTGGCAGAGTTTCTTCCAGAGCAGTCGGTCCTCAGTGAGTTGTCCCATCTGTGGACACACCTGCCCCAAACTGACCAGGTCCCGTCCGTCAGACAGACAGTCCATGATTTTAAGCTGCAGGCTGTCCGGCAGGTCAGTGAGAGTTGTACCGCTTGATGTGGGCTGGAGATAGAGTCAAACTATTATTACTATCATTTATTGTCATTTACGTAGTCGGGCAATTATGGTTGATCTGGCACCACTGCAGTCACATTCATGGGTATTAATTATTACCATATATTAAATGGCCCAACACATGTCGAGTTAAATATATTCAACGAGATTTATTGTAAGAGATGAGTGCAACCCAAAACGGGATAAAACCAATGAATCCAGCAAATATCCTTCTTGGACTAGTTACAGATACAGTATGTTATTCTCAGTTTGACCCAGCTGAAGTAATGCCACCAGAGGGCATTCTGATATTTCTGACCAGAACATTGTGTAAACATAACATCAACAAACAAATAGTTTGACGTTTGTATAAAGAGCAGTTAACCCTTAATAAATTACTAAAACTAGTGGTGATTAATCTATTAATAGTTTAGACCATAGAAAGAAGGTTAAGTGAGTGTTCAAGTGTATTCTATGTTGTTTTTGTTTGTTTGTTGAGAAAGATGCTTACTCTGTTTATCTGGATGTTGTCGAGCTGCTGCTGCCACTGTAGGATGTTCTCCATGCGGTGCACCCACATGTTGATGTTGCCCACCAGGACTGACTTGCCCATGTCCTGCACCAGACTGCACAGGGACACATACAGGCCCTGCAGCAGCTCCTTTATGGGTCGCACATTCTGCTGGTCATCAAGCACTGACAACAGAAGTAAAGACTTTATTAGAAGGAAACTATATACTGACATTTGGATGTTACTAAGCTGGACTCTTTACTTCAATATTTATGACGATAAACACAACATCAAACTAAATGTTTAGGAGGAGCCGTTCTCCTGTGAATTATTCATAATATTTGTCCTAGAGTTTCATAACGGCACCTCAACACCTTAACTGTGTTTATCTGAGAGAACATTCAGTTTACACTGGCTGTAACGAGGTCTGGTGACTGTCAAGTCACCCCTCCCTAATCTGCCATTGTAACATACAAGTGTATAAGAATGTCTTAAGACAAAAAAACACATTGGACAAGTCGCATCTGTCGAGTTTAACAAAAAATAAACTGTTCTTGAAGAGTGAGAAGTAGAAGAAATGTTGGCCGGAACATAAAACCCTATGACATAAACCAAAGAAACTGAGAGGCCATCACTTGAGAAGAGGAGCTCACCTTTCTGCACCACTCTCTCCAAAATATTCATGTAGTTTTTCTGTGCAACTCCACTGAGCGAAGGGAGCTGGGACTTGGCGATAAGCTCCAGGAGCTGGAGGGGAGAAGAAAAAAAGAAAACATCAATTTGAGCGGTCTGCTATGAAGACACTCTGCTCCTCATTACTTAATGTTGATTGTGCTGCATTCCTCTGAAGTCACTGCAGTCTGAAACTTAAGAGGTGTTCGGGATAAATGAGTTTTACCTGGCCCAGCTTTACAAACCCAAACACTGTCTCCTGATGTTCCTGAGGCTTTAGAGAAGCTTCTAGAAAGCCGCCAGCTCCATCAATGCTAACCTTCACAACAACTGAACAGGTAGTCTGCAGAGAATGCCTGATAATACAATTGTACAACCCACCAAGAGTGTGTGCATGTGTGTTGCCACTGGGCTACACAACAGCTTATTGGGCAGCACATTGGGCTGGTAGCACTTTGATATCATGGAGAAACTCCTGCACCTCCTTGCTTAACACGTGACGTGACCTTGTCACATCAACAAGCACTACTTTGCTTATAAATGCAACATATAATCCACCCACTTAAGGAAAATATGTTTAGTAATGTTTCTATCATCATGTTAGCTTTACCCTTTTTAAATAATCCATCTCTGCAGATTCTTTCCAGTCTGGAGACTGGATAATCCCATGTCCTGCTTCTTTTAGCAGCAAGTGATGTGGTCTTTTCTTTGTAGAGCAGCCGGGCAGAACAATGTGCATTTATGCATCTACTTTTAGCTTCAGCCGTAATCTAAACTGCACTTCAAAAGTATTACGTGTGGCACACAGTGCTGATCCAAACCATACAATAGACATTATTAACTCAAAATTCTCTATAAAAGAGTTTAAGTTTTATTGGCCTTTCCTCATATCAATTTCTGCTCTAAGGCTGCGGTCACATGAACTACAGTACTTATTAACGCAACAATGAAATGGAGTCTAACGAGCTCTTAAAGGCCGTCAAACAAACCAGTGAGAGGCAATATTCAAGGACACTGTGTCCAGACGGTCCACTAGGGTTTCACCTATTGTGCAGGAGGCTCAACACACTATAAATGGCACTTGGTGAACTCACCAGTAAAAGGTTTTGTAGTAGCTCAATGACACTGAGCAAATAATCATGAAATATGAGCGTGTAAAAAAAAAAACTAACCACTATTTGAAAAAAACTATAAACAAAAAAGGACATACATGTGGTATCAAGGCTAACATAAAACCCAGAGTTCATATCACACCGAGTCAAAGCAATAACAGTCATGACAACAATGGGTACCAGGCCCAAGTAAAAAACAGTTCGACAGTTTCTTTTGATACCCTGTGGGATTGTAAATTGTATTTTTGAATGTTTATGATTTATTCCTGATGAGATATGGGTTGTGAGGCGCTTTGTGTTGCCTTGTGTAGGAAAGGCACTCGACAAATTAAAATGTATTGATTGGACAGTGCACCTTTATAGGAGGTACTGTACCTTCAACTGTTTGGGTCTGACTGGACAAGCACACGGTTTCATAAGCCACAGTCTTCAGCACAGCTGTCATACCCCCTTAGCCCAGCACCCTGGACCCCTCACCTCACCCCCCGGAGCTGGACAACCCGAACACAAACACTCACATGGGAGCACATGTGTATCAGCTGCCCCCTTCACTATTAGATGTTACAGGTTGTGAGCACTGGGTCTTTATCAATGCATCACAGCAAAGAGACAATGTTTCAGGTCGACCATTTAAAAGTATTTTACTTCATTTGCAAACTTGCTTTCAGAGAAACCATTTGAACAACACTACTGAAAGCTAGGGTAGGAACACCAGATGACAGACGGTAACATCATTGTAACATCCTTGTGCGCAATATCATGAAAAATGAGACATCCTCGTCTGCACAGCGTTGATAAGCCTCAATCACACGCCCTGTATGTTTTAACCCTTCATCTACCAAAACCAAAGCATCTGGGTTTAAAGGGAATAGAAAGAGATGAAGACTTACTCTGACAATGTAATTAAATCTTCTTGTGTCTTTGATAGCGCTGCAGAAATCCAGGCGGTTAAAGGCCTCTCCCAGTGTGCAATAGCCATGACGCTGGAGAAAGCAATCATCATGGCATTAGATTGAGAACCACAAAAAGGGAATCTCAGTGTTTACATTTATCAATTTAAAGTTGAGGTGAAATAAATGTTTCACCTCTTTGGTGCTCCCTTTGTGAACGTAAATCCACTTCTCCATATGGAAATCTGTGGAAAATATAATGTTTTTATCAAAAGCTGCAACGTCAGAAAAGACCTTGGATCAAACACAAATTATACATATAAATACAATGTTAAATAAAAGATATATTTTCATGATGACAGTGTTAGTGTAGGATCATTTTAACGGATAAGACGATTCGAGAAAGACTCACAGGGGACTTTGGTGTTGTTGTTCATTAGGTCCTTTTTTCTCTTCTTGGCAGAGGGATCATAATTGAGAGAGAGGAATAGGTTCTCCTTGTTGAAGCACTCCTCCTCCTGAGCTTTGAGGAAACTGGAAAACACATAATTCACGTCACTGGAAGGTCTTTGAGGTCAAGGCCTCACACCAAGTCCAAACTGACCATATCTCTCATCCGTTTTAAAGAGCGCACATAAACCACTCTGAGATCACCATGTCTTTCTATCCAGATTGTTTGTTATGCCTTTGTTATGCCTGTCAGAGTAACCTTGTTGCCATTATGTACTTTGATATGGTTTCAGGTTGGCCCAATGTTCTTTCACTACCCTATTTTTGTTTCCCCTTGTTGCTTCCGGGCCACAAACCAAAGGAAGGCTCTAAAATCAGTGACTAAAGGTAATAAGGCAAGTTTATTTGTAATTGCTAATTGGTAATATTATTATTCATTATTTGGCTTTATTGAGAACACAATGCCCATATAGATAAAAAGCATGAAACTACTCTCCATGGAGATCTTTTGTTGTCTAAAGAGAGCATAAAACTTAAAAAGGACGAGCAGCTGGTGGACTTTCCAACAGATAAAGGTGCACTACATCGGTTATCTTAATCCACTCCCTAGTTGTGTGTGGATATTTATAGCTAAGTGATTAGCCTGGACAAGAAAAACACAAGACCAGAAATATAACAAATGCAGTAGGGTTAATGCGACAGAAAATAGATTAGGCTATAGTTACCTTAAAACCACTTTTCAACACCAGCTCACACATCTACAGCTGAGTCTGACTAATGCTGTCAAGGTATTATAGCAATGACATGAACAATACAGCTTCACACAGAGATCATGAATGTTTGCCACCGACCTCTGTGTGGACAAGTAGTTGTTTTTATCGTCTGCAGTGGTCTTTTTCCATCCTTCTTCAGTTTTCACCCAGCACTGACCCGGAGACCTCCAGTCTTGTCCAAGAAAAGGCATCCTCGCTGTGGTGGAAAAACTTTAAATTGGTGTTAGGAAGATGATTGGGTGTATCTTGATGAAATAGCTTTTGATTCTAGTCTTCGCACTCTTGTGTTGTCATGGCGCAGCTGCTTATATGAGGGGAACTAAACCCGGAAATACACAAGCCCCGCCCACTTTGGAAACTTCCCTACAGCACGTGCCTTTGTTTATGTACCGTCGCGTTGCAAAACTACTTGGGCAGACAACCAGAGGTAACATAACACCCCCAAACCTTTTAACCAAACAATTTTGTACACGATAAACATAATTTTAAACCATTGTTGTGCGCGTATGCATTTCGGATAGTACTTCAAATGTAAGACCATTACGTAACAGCCCACGGTCCACTCACTGTGAAGGAGGAAGGGTAATCATACACACATGTACAATATAGATACATATCCTCTTAAGCATGTGATGTGATGGAGAGCACAGTTATTTGACCAGTGAAGCAAATACTGGGCAATTGAATGTTATGTTGTAAAAGCACTGAGTCAAGTCAATATACGTTGTGTGGCTTCTCTGCTGTGGAAAATCCTCTCTGTCAGTACTGTCACTGTGCTTGTGCCCTGATCCTTAGTCACTCTTGGTTGTTTAAAAATAGATGAAGTTGTCCTTAGCATTTTGTTGCATTGTGAACTGTATACGTTTCAGTAAAGTCAACTGGAAAGTGCACTGGCAAACTCAAGTAATTAATCAGTTAGCCTAAATGTTGACTAAGAGTACTATCCATGAATTGAGGGTACCTCATTGAAATCCTTTATGTGCTAAACAACTCCTAACTAAACTTACATTTGTATTCTAGTGGTTTCAGATCCCATTTTCTCTATTGTTATTGTTGATCATGTTTAATGCAAACAGGCCACTTGGTCAGCTCTTATCAGTTTCAGTGCACAAAGGACAAAGTGAGCATATGCATATGAGGAAATCACACTTGTGTATTGATCTCTTATCTTTGCATACAGTCACTCATGTGGAAGATGTGAAATCAGAAAAAAAGGCAACATGTGTCTTGTCAGTGTCGCCTGTCTTCTGGAGTAGAACTTCAAATGCGCCATAGCACATGGTGCACATGCACGCATGGCATTCTAAGAAGTTACAACTAGCATATGTTGGACAGGGGCTTCATAAACAAACGGTTATAAACAAATCAAAACTATGTGAAATAGCTGATCCAGTTGTATCACGTCATGTTATGTACAAACTTACAACAACAACAAAATCATCAATGAAATCCTAAATAGTCACTTCATATCAACTGTAGGGCAATTGTCTCTGGATTGGAGCCAATTCTCTGGTATTATAGATCCATCAATCAAAACTGGGCTGTTTTAAGGGATAGTGAACTCAGTCAGCAGAAATTGGATTGTTCTATGTAAACCTACTAAAATAAGCAATCACAAAAAAATAAATTTATTTATAGGACTAATAAACCATTTAACTAATCACATATTTAATTGCATCTCTGTCAGTGGGAGTTTCTGGTCTGACTCTTGATGACGTGTGGATGATCAAAGCCGAATGTGGTGATCTACAGTGAGCATTGAATCAGCTTCTGGATCTGTTATTATATTCTCCCGATTTTATACAATGTTGTGAAATCAATTATTATGCTTCAGTTAGAAAATATCATTATCCAAAATACAATGATTTATCTTCTGTTGCCCTCTACATTTATCCTTTTTCCCTTTTCTCGTTACAACAGTATGAGATTGTGACGTGAGATGAATTTAGTAACCCCCCGGCTATTTTGAGACGCTCTATTGCAAAAGCTGTTGTAGCAGGTGCATCTGTCATATCTGTGTTTTGACGCGTCACCAAAATATATGTGAAAGGTTGCACACAACATTTATATAATGTTGTTTGTCAATAAGAAAACAAGTTTGAGGGAAAGTGCACTCGTAGGAACACACACCTCAGTTTCTAATGTATCTAATTAAGAGATTGTATTTATTATATGTAACAGAATATTCTCCCTTGAATGAAATAGCTTCATATTAACAGGGGAAAAGTCCCATCTAATGCTGGGTCACTCTGTTACTGAGAGAGAAGGCCTGACTCACTGTGCCGCTATGTATTTCAGGCAAATTTAGCGAAAGGGTGTTTTCCGTAACCTAACCAGCCTCCACACACATTATCCACTTATTAATTTAAACATATGAACACTGGTTCCCTGTAGCATTGGTTGAATCACTGTATATTCCCTTGTGTCACTCACCACCTCTGTGTTTTTGTTGTGATTTACAAAAGCAGCTGCACCTGTTGCTGCTCTTCCTGCACGATTTCATCACACATTTACATACTCAGTTTCTTTCTCCAGACATGTCTCTAATATCTGACAGCCTGCACAGCAACGGCCTCCGCTTGACTCACGTGGTGTTCCATTTGACCCTTGTTTGTTTCTTAAAATAACATCACATTGCCTATAGTTTTTCCAGCTCACTCCTCCCTCTGTGCCTTCCACCCTATTTGCCAACTCATAGTGGCTTCTGAATTCAGAGAAAGAAGCTTCATGTGATTCACTAAGTTATTTGTCAAAGGTGCTTTCAACAACTGTCCCAGAGGAGAGTTGTTGTTCTAGCTGGAACTTTGTACAGTATGACATTAAACTTTAATTTTACATTGGATACAACCATGTGCTACAAGTTATATCTATGGCAATGTTCTCACTGTAAGAATTCAGTTTTTTACACTTTTAAGCGCTATTTTTTTTTACAAATTTACTGGTGGGGGATGTACCAAGAAATGCAGTAACGTATCTATGGCAACAAGCAGGTAGTGGGTCTCATCAGAACAGTTGCGTAATGACCCTTCAAAAGTGATGGCTGCAACCTAATTTGTATTTAATTTGAAGAGCACATATTTTTGACCTTATTACCCTTTGGTATCATCTATATTAATCATAATAAATATATTTATAACAGTCCCTCATCAGTAAGACTTGCTGCAGGGGACTAGTTAGACCAATGGGGAGAGGCCTCAGCTGTCTGATCAGCTCCTGATAAGAATTCATTGAATCCAATCAGGAACTAATCAAATCTAACTGGTGCTTGCATTCAATAAATGTATCTCCATTTCACAATTTGAAAAGTAACATTTACCAAATAAAAGCACTCGTAGAGTACAGACCTCCGCCAAGAGGCACAGTTCCATTCCTGGATCCAGACAGTAATGTTGAGCACCTCCTTATACTTTTTATTCTCTATCTTGTTTTCCTATGTAGAGCAGTGCTCATAAATTGCAGGATATAATGTCTTTAATTTGTTGTGGCTGATGGAACCTGTCTGGACATGCCGCTCAGTGCGGACAGTGCACATGCGCTCCAGTTGCACTCGGTGTCAACTGACCGAGCAACACGCTCTGCCATAGGAGACATGGGACATGGGAGTGGATCAAATTTTATTGTTCATAGAAAATCCTAACACACACTAGAAAACTGTACAAAATATTATCAATACAAAATCATATAATTTAGAAACAAAATGACAAAATAACAATACATCAATGAAGACAATGGAATATATCATTTTAAAAAGTGCAGTTCACATTATGGAGATGAGGTTGTTGACCAAAGTTCCCACCAAGTGGCTGTGGTCTAAACAGCTGTGAAGACCACAGGCTTGCACCAAAACAATGTTGGAGGATTTAAGCCTGAGTTTGGAGACAGTACTTTGTTATGTCAGACAGGTTAAAATTGGCTTTCAAATAGTTTCATGGAAACAGATAACACAGCTATCAAAGAAGACAGTGGTGGTTTTGGTGCAAAGAGTTTTATCAGTAGCTCCGTGGCATATATGTGTTCTGTTATTTTATTACTTTAGATTTTTTTTTAAAGGCCTATAGCTGAAATGTGTTGACCTGTTTTTACCATAAAATGTCAATACTACCTGTTAAATCTTGTTTTCTATGTATCTAACTGTATAATTAGACACATTTTTGAGTGCCTCAGTTTCTCCCACAGATTATTCTCCAAAAAAACATCCAAATAGAATATTCAGGATTTAGCCCATGTTTGTTGGACACTAGTTAGAGTGAGAAAACCGTGGTCAAACAGTTTGTGTGGGAGACAGCCTTTAGAGGTCCAAGAATCTGTCTTTGGCTCGTAGCATTCGAACATGTCTGAATCTTGAATGGCATCATGACCATTGACGTAGCGGCCCCCAGTGACATACAGTTTGTTGTTGAGGATTGTCGCTGAGTGGTGCATCCTCCTTTCCTTCAAGTTGGCACAATTGATAAAACGATTGGACTTTATGTCATAGGCGATCATTCTCCTGGTGTAACCTGGAAAACAAGTGAGCTGTGAGATTTCCCTCTGAAAAAATCTTCTAATATTTATTAATTTGTTATTCAGCCCTTTCTCTATCAATTGAATTAGATATTATGTGTTCACAGTAAAATGTCAATTATAGTATCTGGACTTAAATAAAAGGTCATCAGCGACCAAGCGGCAGATGAACTCTCACAGATTAACATGGTTAACCAGTAAATCACTTGATTTAAAAAGGAATATTTTTTGAAAAATAATCAATACAAATTTAAGTGACCCTTGAAAAATGTGTAATGGATTTAATGATTTCCATAATTTCTTTTCTAACAATTAAACTTGAGAAAAAAAAAGATTGTCTAGTATCACATATAATTTTTTACGATATGAAAGTAATCTTTTTTTTTTTTTCAACTTTATTTGTAAAAAAAAAAAATATATTAACCAAATGTGGACATCTGAAAATATGGAACAAACTTCCGTGGTTCATTCCGTCAAAGGATCACATCCCTTACACAGATAAACAGAGCCACTACAGGAAACTTTACAAATGTATAAAACAGTTCTTCTAGCATATGCTAATGGCCAGGAGAGGTAGTTGGCCTAATGGAAAACATTAAATCTTCCGATTAAAATCAAATGTTTGGCCTTCTGTCACACCTTTGTCCCTTTTAGTTTGAACAAGCCCTTATCTTTTGATCAAGCCTCGCGACAATGTACCTCCAATGATGTATATTTTATCATCTATAACTGCAGCAGGTGCAGACACATTCTTCACCGTCCTGTTCTCCATCTTTGACCACAAATTCCTGGTGATGTGATAGACCTGCCGAATAGAGATGAGCTTTGTGAAGTGTGATCGATGGAGTGAGGAAACAGGAGCAGAAATAAAGATAGATGAAGGCACACGTGGTCCCACACTCACTTGGATCAGCCTTACTGGGTTCTGCATCACATCCTCTCCTCCAAACATGTAGATCCTCTGGTTGGTGGCAGCGACAGCCGGGTGCAGCACCGCCTCAGGCATCGGGGCCATAGACTCCCATTGATTGAACATACTGTTGAATCTATGTACAGATAATTTCATGAGGAAGGGAAATGTTATGAATTCTCACTGGTTTATTTGAGTGTTTTACCTTTCCACAGATGCAGTCACTCGTCTGTCTGGCCCAAGCCCTCCCAGGACAAAGATGAAGTGCAGGTAGGAGAGGCTCTGGTGAGCAAATCTTGGTTCTAACATGGGTTCAGCAAGTCTCCACTGATCAGTTTTTAATGAGAGAGTGTAGACAGCAGAGGTGGCCTGGTTGCACTTTGCACTAGTGGTCATGCCTCCGATCACATACAGCACACTGTGTAGTGCCACGTATGTGGCTTTGTAAAGGCGAATGGGCAGCTTGGCGAGCCTCTGCCAGGTCTGTGTCTGCTCCTCAAAAACCAAAGCTTCTCTGGACGTCTGCTCATTGTTCTTTCTGCCCCCTACCACCACCAGTCTGTCCAGGCAGGAGTAGCGCCGCCGAGCCACCCACATGTGTTTGATCTCAGGGTTATTTATGTATCTGTTGCTTACTGAGAACATTAGCCTTCTTACAGATTCAATGAGTTCAGTGCAAAGAGTGGATGACTGGATCAGAGGGTCGTTGGCGATGAACTGGAATAGATATGTCGGGTGGATATAGCGCAGACGCACCTTTTTGAACAGATCACTGATGGAACCTCTGCGGGACAGTGGGTCGTGGTGGATCCAGGCTACAAGAGTTTCAAATACCTGCTCCTCCTCCGCATACAGGCCGTCATCCTCCAGGTATCCCATCAACTCAGGCAAAGACAGTTCACACAGCTCCTCTGAGGTTGACACATCTGAGAAACTCCTCATGGCCATCTCCTTGGCTTTGACCTGTAAACTCTCACAGTTCAGGATCTCTGACAGGCGGATCATGCTGAGGCAGTTGTCTGGACTCAACTGCACTTGGAGAAAACTGGAGCATCCCTCAAAAAGCCGTTCATATTGATACATGGCTGCTGCCTGCATCAGGGGCAATACATTGTTCATGTGGATGTTTACTCGTCCAGTGTAAACATAGTCTATGATAGCACTGAGAATGTCTGCGCTGATGCTCTTGAGTACAATCCTGGACTGCTGCCTCTCCATAAAGTTGTTGCAGAACATGGCTCTGAAATAGGGGCTGCTGGAGACCAGGACATTCTTGTGACAGGGGATCTCAGTCTGTTCTGCACAGAGCCACACATCAGTGAAGATCTGCTTATGTCTGAGTTTGTTCAGCTGCAGCAGCAAACTGGACGACTGCTCTGTGTCTCTGAAGTCGTACATCTCCACTGGATCAAGGGTCATCTTTAATGGGCATCTTTAATGGAGAGAATATACTGTTAAGAAGAAGTAGAATTTCCACATGAGCTCTTGATAATTCACAATAATTTCTGTTCAGTTTCATGGCTCCTCTTTCAGTTTGTTTCACATAAAATGTCTTAAAAATCACTGGTACCTAAAGAATAATGTTGTGGAAATTCTGCACATAACGAGAGTAAAATAATGTAAACAACTCAGAGCTGTAATTCCAAACAAAGTGTGAGTTTATTCATTAGTAAATGTGCACAATTACAATGAATAACAGAACCGATACCAATACCACCGGGCAGCCGTCCGAAATTGACTGCCCTGAATGAGGAAATGACTGTACATTAAATAGACCAGAGTAAACAAACACATATCTACTCTAGATATTACATAAATGAAGTCAACATTGATACGTGTTGCTCAAGGCTTCTCTTTACGCGTCCTAACGCTGATACAACTCTGATATATGTAACAATCTGCTTTTGAACTGAACATATTGTCAAAGACATGATGCCGCATGTCTCCATCTATCACTGACCTGCTGCCAACAGAGCATTATGGCCTGTATCTGTCTCCAGAGTTGACTATTAGTTAATAACTTACACTCATAACTATTTGGTGTTAATTCAGATTGCTTTACTAAAATATTTCTATAACAATAACGTCAAAGCTCTTTTGATGGACATATAAAATATAACTTTTTGTAACTACTGAAAGCAACATACTTAGCAACCTACATCAATGGCAAACATATGACAAAGTAGACATTATGACAACATTTTTGACCACAACTGATGGTCTCTATATTACACAACTATGTCAAGTAATTCATGTTTTACAAAACTAATCCAATTTCCAAAATATATTGTGTTGACATAAGTTTGCATTTTATAATTCCATTCCATGTAAACCACATTATTCTATCATCAATCACTGATTTGATTTGTAAATCCTATTTAAGATGGATTGGCTCATGCTGTTTGCCTTTTACCTGTCTCCCTTGTGTTCTTCTTTGTATTTGGTGAAAGACCTCAGAAGAAACCCAAATGGACAAATTCCAGTTTTCTTGCTCGCTCTCGTGCAGCAGCGTGTTTTGGATGGGCCGTCTCTTTGTAGCGTGTATCACAGTTTGTTGTTATGGCCCTGCACCACGAGGCCCTGTGTACATTCCACCCCTAAAAATAGACCTGCTCTTTAGAAACCTGACAGTAGACTTGTGACTGATCCCCCCCTAACATTTTCCCAACATCCCTCAGACTCCCATTGCCTCATCAACTCTTATTTTCTTCATCAGACACTGCATCTTCCTGCTGTGATATTGCAAATGCCTCATCTTTGCAAATCTATATTTTTGCCTCATGATTGTAGCAATACAACAAGTGATGTGATCAAATCTGCTGTGTACCGCCTTATCCAGCAGTATTTTGTTACTGCAGTGGAAACTAAAATCATCAGAGTTATATTCTACTTCTACGTTTCTTTGCTACAGAAATCTCACTCTGATAAAGACATGGTACCTCGGCATGTCAAACATCTATTCTCTATACACTATTTAAACACTCCAAAAAGCTTTTCTTTTACTGATCAGCCTGTAACCGGAATCACATTTTAATTTTTCATGTGAACCTGCTTTCAGGCTTGTCATATTATCATAATTTTACTAACATTGATTGATTTTTCTATAACAATTGAAATGTCAAACCAAACGGCCAATGCAATAACCAGTGTTCTCAGTTGCAGCAATGACTTGTTGTTTTGGACTCGATGATGACTAAAAAAGATGTTTATTTGATTGGAACAGTACAAGTGACACACCAAATACAAATGCTGTTATTAGCCCAGATTACCACAAGCATGACAAACTAAACAGCACCACCTATTGGTTGGTTCTGAAGATGTGGCGTAATACATTTATTTTTAATTCAATGTATTTAGTTTTTTATGGTTAAATATTAGACCTGTGCCACATGTCCCCTTGTGGATAGATTAAACTTTTTCAAGCTTTTTGTCATGAAGAAGACTTTGTAAACTATCAATGTTTTATTCTCAGTCAGATTTCATTGACAATAAAAAATACAACTCGAAGATCGAAGACATGGCCTTTGTACTCTGATTTATTAATGAATGAAGATGATTCTGGGAAAGATAACAAGATCGTGTTTTTAGAAGATGTTGAGAGCTTTTCATCTCTCGTTCAAAAGCAGATAATGAGTCATTTCCATCTGTGTTTGTACAATGACTGCATCTTTATTAAAATCCAATTGGAAGAGGATAACGACCATGGATGGCCTTTGTTTAAACCTGGTAAGTTCCATCTCAGTGCATTAGGCCAGAGATTAGTGAGATCAGCCTGCTTATAAGCACATTCAAACCAATTGTCTTTTCTGTGGAAGTATGTGGCCTCTCTGACCTTGTCTCTATGATAGGAAGTTCAACGTTTATTATGTGAGCTGGTTCTCATTGAATATTTGTTCATTTGTGGCTTCATTTCCTGCAGCCAATAGATGAATGAATAATATTACATCAATACATTCAATAAAAAAATAACCCGAACCTGGAAAAAATATAGATTCTATGTCTTGATGTTGATTACATACGTAGATTTAGGAAGAATGCTCAAAACGAAAAATGATCTTGTTTGGTTTTCAAACATGGATTAGGGCTATGCTAATATGATTATTTATTCATTAATTCATCAAATATTCATCACATTTTTGTCCACTAGGTGTCAGGCCAATGTTATGCAAATGCACCAGGGTCAAGAACTGTGTGTGCGTCTGTAGTATTTTATTCATCCTTAAGTTAATTATAAAAAATTAAAACATGAAAAAAACATTTACAATAATGAGAATTGTAACTTGAGGAGTCAATGCGCTGTAAGTAAGTAAGTAAGTAAGTTTTTATTTATATACCGCCTTTTCACTGCAGATCTGAGTCTCAAAGCGGTTTACAATTGTTAATTTTTGGGCATTTGTCTCTCACTCCACACAGAGATGGGAGCGGGGTCGCCAGTACAGGAGGCGCATGCCAGAACTATTGGACATATTTTTAGTGGTAGGGGAAACCGGAGCACCCGGAGGAAACCTACGCAGACACGGGGAGAACATGCAAACTCCACTCAGAAAGGCCCTGGTCCGACCGGGATTCGAACCCAGGACCTTCTTGCTGAGAGGCGAGAGTGCTATCCACTCAGCCACCGTGCCGCCTGGCTTTGATGGAGAGACATCGAACAAAGAGAAAGGGCGAGAGAGAGGAGGGGTTGTGGGGAAGTCTTCTGAGACCAAACCCAAACCTGCTTTAGTCATGGGAAGGTAATGGTGTGTTTCCATGTAGGATCTTTCTCTGGCACACACACGTGCTCATGAGGTCTTTAGTGGGCTTACAGTTTTCTGCTTAAAATTCTTCTGACGTAACCAACACATGCAAACCTATGTATTATTTGTTAAGAAATAGATACTTTGAGTCTGTTAACAGAAAAAAACAGAACAAATCCATTCTATGCTAAATATACTTCTCTTTTCTCCCAAGGTCCTTCTTCTTTGCGTGTGGTCATTGTGGTGTCATACAGTACACACCGCTGTACCTTTGCTCTATGCCTCCGTCAAGATTGTGTGAGCATTTTGTGTAGAACATAGAAGACATTCATATTCAGCTTGCAGCACTGGCATCTTTTAGTGTCCAGCCAGGTCTACGGAGGGAACATGGCACTCCTGTTATGACTCAGGGAACCCACCCAAAGAGTGGAATGCTGTGCTGAAATGATATTGTTGTGTCAACTTGTGTGTAATATATGTGTCTGAAAATTAAGAAGCTATTGTCCAGGTGTAGATCGAGGACAGCATTAAATGTTGTTTTTGTTTTTATTTCTTTCATTTTGTAGACTAACTAGAATGGGTTATGATGGGAAGAATTTTAAGAGGCAAGGATGATGAATTTGCATGTTTATTCCCCTGTATACTTGGTTAAATGTATTCTGTATACAAAAGGGTCAGCATGCTTATGGACTTGCACTGTATAAAATGTTGTTTATGATTAGAGTCATTAGTTCAAGTAACTAATTTTTTCTTCAGTATTCATTTAGTGTGATGACACTTTGTTTGCTTTGTTAATAGTGTTAATGTTTAACATCGATGAGGAGACCTATAGGTGAAGGTAAACATGTCGCCTGTCAGACCCCTCAGTTTAAATATACGATAAACACAAGTTAAATATTCTCCTGATAATGAAAAGTAAATCTTAATTTTTGCCACGTCCTTTTGTTCATCAACTCACAGGGTGATACTGTGAGTTTGCATGCTCTTCTTGTCTTTTATTCGGGTTCTCCTTTTTCCTTATCACTGAACATAACATGCTCCTCCTGTCTGAGGCCTGGATTGGCTGGAAAGTGGTTGTGAATTTTAGCAGCTGGTTGAATATTGGTAAAACAACAAACATGTATTTCTATCTTTAGGAGTACAGGAAGCCGTCATTGCAACTTTTAGTGCTTAAAATAACAAGAAAAGTAAATCATAGATAATTACAGTATACATTCAAAATAGTGACGATACAATCCTTCAGTTGTGTGCAAGGATCAAGAGAATGTTTTTATCCTGGATTTGAACATTGTAGAATCCTTTCCCACATTTTCAGGAAGAACCATTTAAGCTGCATAAGTCTGAAATGCTGCCTTCCTATGACTTATTGACAATTCAATACAATACACAATACACAGCTGAGAATATGATATACTGTATATTGTAATATAGTAAATAATTATTTTTGCGATATGAAATACTGACTTTTTGATCATTATTCAAACCGTGAAAATGCCCAATGTAATTTACACAAAAGCTCTTCTTTGCTTATATTAAAACATTTGTTGACAAATAATAAAAAAAAAAACATGATTATTTTTGACATTTTGATATTTCTACACACCCCATAAAAGCAGCGCACAGTGCAGTAGAGGTAGAAGTAAAGTTTCTTGCTGAAGGACACAATGGCTCCAGCTTTCATACTACTTTGCGAACACTCTGCCTCATGACCTCAATTAAGTTTTATTCCTTACATTCTTCACATTATTACTTTTCTCTTCTCGTAGCTCTTATCTGTTGTTTCTGTCAACATTTTGTATCAGTTGCTGTAACTAGTTGCCACTCTCCTCCTTCATGTCTGCAGACAGCAGAACAGCCTGGTCTCTCCTCCTCCGCTCCTCCCTGTATCTCTCATTACCAACACCGACTGCACTCTTCATGACTGATAATACAGCTCTGGGATGATGTGTTTACTGACCTTGTCCAAGATTGTGATATTTTGTTATAGCAGTGCCATCTTGTGCGTGTACATTCAGTAACACTGAGATCTTATCAGGCTGGCAAAATACTAGAAATGTTGCCTCCCACTAGTTCAAATGTTGAAGCCTTTTTGCTGTTGCAACCTTTTCAAGTAATTTCTTAGCTTTTTTTTCTCCTGCAGGTCCTACACACGGGAAACCGCCTAGACATCTCCTTTTAGTTTAAACATCCTATAGGTTCAGATTCTGAGGCATCTGCCATTGGCTGCTCTGAATTAGTTTAATGTTCAAGTTTAGGTTCAATTCTGTCTGACGCTCAATGGCCCTCATTTAGGAAACTTGCGTACGACCAAATCAGGGTGTAAATGAGGCGTACGCAAAAAATGTGTACATTTCAGCATTTACCATATAAAATATACGCCAACTCTGGAGGTCGTGCAAATGTATACGCTCATTTCAACCTTCTTCACAACACGCCAAACCATGCATGAAATTCAAGATTTGGATAACAATAAACATATTCCCAGTCTGGCAAAATTATAAGCTGCGTTTTCATTGAGCATCACATTTCGAAATTTGTAGTTGCGCATCAGAAAAATTCTAATGGAAACACGTAAACTTCGAATAAATCACAGTTCATGATGAGGAGCTTCTTCTGTTTCTTCATTTTTAAATCTGACTGTATGTGTATTATTTTAATCTGTATGTTTTTTAAATGTGAAGTGCTTTGTGATCCTTGTCTGTGAAAGGCGCAATACAAATACACTCCATCCATTTTCTTCCGCTTCATCCGTTGCCGGGTCGCGGGGGCAGCAGTCTAAGCAGAGACGCCCAGACTTCCCTATCCACACACACCTCCTCCAGCTCGTCCGGGGGGACTCCAAGGCGTTCCCAGGCCAGCTGAGAGACATAGTCCCTCCAGCGTGTCCTGGGTCTTCCCCGGGGCCTCCTCCCGGTGGGACGTGCCCGGAACACCTCCCCAGGGAGGCGTCCAGGTGTATGTACAAATACACTTTACTTACTTAATAACTTACGCAACAGGGATGTGTGACAAATCTGTTGCTTTGAAAACCTGTGGCAGGCCCTGCGCTGCGTTGCACCAATGATCTCACTCAAAACTTTCTCAGCCACTGCTCTGTACTCCGTATGTAGCAAGTTTATAGATGGGATGGCAACCGTGCTGTGGGAACGGGCTCATGGGCAGTGGCTCTTGGGAACTGCGCAGCGGTGCCACGACAGATCCCACCTCAAAT